AGGTTTTTCCGCATTTAATGCTTGTGTTACAGGTGAGGCCAAGTAGACTGACTCCCCAGTGAACAGGGTAATGTTAAATTCGGGGGATTATCATTCTGATCCCCTACAGAAAATACCTTTGCTACAAAAATTGACAACGTGGACAGTTAGAAGTTGTTTTAGAAGACATATGCAGAAGGGAATACAGAATTTTACTGGGCTTTGAAAGGTAAATTATGAAATAAGGAATTTTACTGGGCTTTGAAAGGTAAATTATTGTTTATTTATGGGGGAAAATGAATTCTCTACAGTGTAATGAAATGCAGGAAACTTCAATGAAAACTCCACTCAGTTTTTAAAGAAGGGTCAAGCATGTGTGGAAAAAAGCTTATTGGAGAAAGCAAATTAATTCGGAAGATCTGATGCAGAAAAAGCATTTGGAATTTTTTGAATTAGTATTTCCAAAGCACGGTGTTTATTTGTACAGAAGATAATTTTGATGACTTTCTAGCCTTTTCACGTAGGTTTACTAAGAGGGAGGTGCAGAACCAACATTGATTTAGCTGACTGAATTGCTGGATTTTCTTGATGCCTTACAGTTTCCTTATTAGCATGGGACTGTCAGAGGTTGTTAGCTAGCGTATAATGGAGATAATATGTACTCAATAAAAACTACTTTTAATTTTACCATACATAAAGTTGTTTGGAAATCAGAATTGCATAGCCTCAGAGGAAAAGTAACAACATTGAAAGTTTCGTAGATAATTTGGACTTGGATTCTTTTCTTCTGTTCCATTTTGCAAGTATATGTGTTCCATTTGACATTAAAAGCTTCGTAGATAATTTGGACTTGGATTCTTTTCTTCTGTTCCATTTTGCAAGTATATGTGTTCCATTAGCATCACAGATGCAGAATATGATCATGCATGCCAGTAACTACAAATTAAGTTTTTTTTATACACAGCATACTGTGATTTAGTGGCTCGGGGTAGTGTGGTCTTTGTGGTTAACTTCCTTAGCCTCAGTGAGGGTGAAATCCTCCTTAGGAGGGAGGAAGGATGGATTTGTGGTTTAAGTTTGAAACTGGAAAACGGGAGATCTTTTTCTGGCTTGATGACAGATTAGTTGATTTGTGGGAAAATCTTTTTCTGTTCCTTAATTTCTGCTTATGTAAACGGGAGTTACAAGGAGTATTGTCTGATTCTGCTGAATAGAGGACTCCATTCATTAATATTTTTAGTGTGTTTTAAGACAACAAGGAGGAAATTAATATTTTTAAAAGTGGTCTTGAAAGAAGTTACTCATTTAATGTCTCCCTCAAAGAAAAGTTACCAGCAGCAGATTGCCCTGAGGCAGTATTTTTTACTGCTGTGCCTATGTGCAGTGTAGAACATTGTAACAATTAAGTTAAATTTTAAATTCATTCCTCTGTGATTTCTGTAATGTCTACAATATTCTATCATCTACTGTATCTACCAATAATCTGTCAGTCTAACATACTTACTACTTCTATCTTTTGAGCTCTTTTTTCTTAATATTGCCTGGCCAATCAATGCCAGAGAATATTCCAGAAACTATTTCTGATAGAATCACGGAATGGTTTGGGTTGGAAGGGACCCTGAATATCACCAAGTGCCAACCCCCCTGCCCTGGGCAGGGACACCTCCCACCAGACCAGGTTGCTCCAAGCCCCATCCAGCCTGGCCTTGAACCCCTCCAGGGATGGGGCAGCCACAGCTTCTCTGGGCAACCTGTTCCAGTGTTTCACCACCCTCAGAATAAATAATTTCTTCATAATAACTAATCTGAATCCACCCTCTTCCAGTTTAAAAATGTTACCCCTCATCCTATCACTATACTCCTTCATAAAGAGTGCCTCCCCATCTCTCCTGTGGGACCCCTTTAGGTACTGGAAGGCTGCTGTAAGATTTATAAATGTTACCCCTCACCCTATCACTATACTCCTTGATAAAGAGTCCCTTCCCATCTCTCCTGTGGGACCCCTTTAGGTACTGGAAGGCTGCTGTAAGGTTTCCCTGGAGCCTTCTCTCCTCCAGGCTGAACACCCCCAGCTCCCTCAGCTTGTTGTCATAGCTCCAGCCCTCTGAATCATCACTGTCACATTCACCATCCAAGAAGCAGCAGTTTTTGTTACCACCTTTACCCTCCCTGCAGCAAACTTAGCGGGCCTGACTCATTAGAGCATTTCTTCACTCTCTGCCACCTTGTCACCAAAATCCAGTGTTGTGTGTAGTCAGATGTGCCTTTTATCACTTAGGGTGTAGAATACAGCAAGAAAATATATACCTAGGGCTTTATCCCCTGGGAAATTCTAGATAATTCAGAACCTAATGAACTTTCTAGTTGCATGGGCAACTGCAAGTATTTTAGACTCTTCTATGCTCTCAGCACAGAGTATCTTAACACATTTAGGATATTGATTTTCATAGAAGTGTTTCAACCTGAGCTCAGTATATCCATGAGACTGAAAGTGAGGTGAGGATCATGTCTGATAGTGTGGCTTCTTTGCCATGAGGTACATAAAGATCTTTTGGGGGGGGACTAAGAAGAGTAGAAGCAGCGTGGTGGGAAGGGTAACTATGCTTGCATAAAATAAACACATTTACAGGCAAAATTTACCTTCCTATTTGCAACTGCTGCATGCATTTCGACTTTTTCATACCCAAGGGTACAGCATTGCTCTTCAAATATCTTATGTCTTCCTCTGTGTTTCTTCTTCACCATTGCTAATTTGCAGGTAAAATTTGACTATCATGTTGCATTCAAGCAAGTGTCTTATCAGTATCTTTAAAAAAATCTTTCTTGGACACTTTTTCTTCTGTCCATGCTCCGCTTCATCCTCTGCTTGGTAGCTGGGTATGTGCTAGTCATCCGAGTGCTTGATGCACAGACTTTTATTGCTAATTGTCTTGCTGAACACCAGGTCAGCTCACCCTATGGCTTCAACATTTACCAGGCTTTCATGCTATTTCACTAAATATAAGGCACAAAAAGTGCTTCTAGTAATACTTCCAACAACTTCTCCATTGCCATCTTCTGTATATTAACCTTGGTGCACACCCACACATCGCTGGTGCATGGAAGACAGCTTTATGCACCTTTAACTTGTTGAGAGATTTGGTTCTTTGCCAGCTCATTTATTAATCCTTCTGATGTCCTGGATAAGAGAAACTCCCTCACTGGTGCATGGAAGACAGCTTTAACTTGTTGAGAGATTTGGTTCTTTGCCAGCTCATTTATTAATCCTTCTGATGTCCTGGATAAGAGAAACTCCCTCATTAAGAAAACTCCACCGGCATCGATAAAGCGTCGCCAAAATAAATGGATTCATAAATGACTGGGTGCTCAGTCCCACTGATGGGTATGGAAGTGCAATATGTGATCTTTCAGTGGCTGGTTAACTGTTTTTTCAGGCCGATGTTCCAAAACAAATTGTAAAGGCAGCAGAAGTTAACCAAGAGCAGACAATCTTAATTGGAGTAGGCACCACGTCTGACCAGCACACTAGTATTAACATGCAAGAGTGCCAAATGGGCTGCTGAGGAAATCTCAAATACTGAGTGCAGTCTGAAGAAATTAAATGATCTTACTTAATTTGCAAGTATCCACGCTTTAAAAGAGCAGCATGTGCTGTAAAGTTGCTGTGTACATAAGTACCACCGTGCGGCATTGCATGAAAGGAATTGATTTTATGACACGTCCCTTTGGGCATCAGAGGGAAAGTGTCAGGTTGCCCTAGACCGTAATTCGCAGTGAAGTTCAAATGTTGCTTTTGGCACCTGTCCTGAACTTGGATGTGGTGTAATTTGTGGGCACTTTTATTTATTTTTTTTCCACAAGTTGGAGAGATGCAGGCAGATGCTGTTACCAGAAAGAAATCCCTGTGGTTATCATAAACAGGATTTCTTCCCTTTTGTCCTTAAAATCTTGAGAGTGAATTCCTTCTGCACGGTCAGTTATGCCACATCACACATCTGAGTGAGGGGGGGGAAAAAAAGTGATCCATCAGTCAAGAGCTGGAAATCAGTATTTCAGCGAGAATCTAATCTGAGCCAGACGCTCTCCTGTCTTTCCCAGATGGAAATGACTCTGTCATTGTCTTCACTGTTTGGCTGTTGGCTTCTCACATGAATGAAGGGAATCAGGTATTGGCCTTGGTGTAGGTTTTTGTATCTCTCCGAGCCCTCCAAGGGGGCTTGCTGGGGTACGGGTAACGAGCACTGTGCAGAATCATCACCTTGTAGCTTTTGCTGTTGTTCTTTTTTCGTCTGTGTCTCAAAAGCGCTGGGTTGAGGCTGACTTATGGTCCTGAAAAGATGATAAAAAGACAGGAAGGAGCATTGGAGAGGACTTTCTGCTGCAAACTTGAGCAGAAAGTGGTAACACCACTTTGGGGAAGGGTGTAATTTTCAAAAGCTCACTGGCACAATTTGTATCTTGTGTAGTTTGTTGCCTGAATTATGTGTGAAGTGTTTTGAAGGTGGAGAATGCTCTGTACAGAACTATCAGCTCAAATCTAAAGCCTGAAATCGTATTTGGCATCCAAACGCTCCCAAAAGGGTTTGGCTTTGCATTATGGCACAACCCAGAAGATCTTTGTTTTCTGCTTTCGAAGCTGCAGCCAGACCCTTGTAAGAACAGCTGATGAGATTTACCCGTGATTGAGGCACAAATCAAAACCAATGCTGCAAAACAGTCCCAGTGGTTGGCCCCATCTGTCAGTAATCAGAGAGATGTCAGAGCAGCTCCGACCCTCGATTTGGCGACGGGCAGTTATTAAAAGTGCCCCTCGGTCAGTCCCGAGAGCTGCAGGTCATAGAAACAAAACAAAACATAACTGCTGTATTTTAACATCTTACCATTACCCCCCCTTTGCCTCTCACACCGGCTGTACCGTGGGGCCGGACCGTGGCGGCGGCGGGGGGTGCGGAGGGGACCCGACCCGCGGGCGCCTCTGGCGGGGACGGGCGGCGTTGCCGCTCCCCGCTCAGTGCCTCCTCCGCCCGGCAGCGCGGCGGGCGGGCAGACGGAGAGCAGGGTCTGGCCGCCGGACCTGCGGCAGCGCAGCCGGACCCCCCCTCCCTTCTTCCCCCTCGGCCACCGCTGCCCGGCCCGGGCCGCCTGGAGCGGACCCCCCCCTTCCCCTTCTCTCCCTCCCTTCCCTGCCCCCGGCGGTCATGGAGCTCTCCCTGCGGCTGCTCTTGGCGTCCTGCCTCTCCCTGGGGGCGGCCGGGGAGTTTGACAGAAGGTAGGAGCCGGCTCCCGCGGGGTCAGCGGGCGGGGGCCGGCAAGTTGGTGTTTTCCTCGGGCAGGTCGGAACCCCCGAGGGGAGAACGGAGGGAGCCCCGGGTCTGCCCCGGGCGGGCGGGCGGACGGGAAGGGGGGCTCCGAACTGCCACTAGACCTGCGGGGCGCGAAATGGCGGCGGGGGGTCCTCACCGGGGCTGCCTCCAGGCGAGGCCGGGGGCGGCCGGGAGCCCTCGGCGGGACTCTAGCCGCCCCCTAAGCCGAGAAGGGGCTGCCCGCGGGCACAGCTGGATGGCTGAGGGGGCCGGCGGGGTCCGGTGCCACCCGGCGCCGTTCCCGGGGTCGCCCGGGACGGGCTGGCTCGGCCCCGTACCCCCCCCTCAGCCCCGTACCCCCCCCTCAGCCCGTGGCCCGGGCAGAAGGCGGGCTGAGGTAGAAAAGTTTACCGCTCTTGCAGGGTTGCGTCCTGCAAGAATGAAAAATAAAGCGCTTCGCGTGCCGTAAAAATGAAATTAGCTTATTGACGCCTGCAGGGTGCAGATTGCGAGTCAAGTTTTAACACGAAGCGGGGTGGAAGGGAAGGGGCCGGCGAGCGTGTGCCTCCCGGCCGCCGCCAGCCCTGTCAGGTGCCGTGAGGGGCGGCGGGGCTGGCGGGAGAAGGGAGGAGGGCTCCGGGGCTTCCCCTCTCCCAAGACTTCTTTTCTAGGATTTGTTTAAATGCAGCCTTCGCTTTATCTCAGCTTGTCATTAGAAAACATTAATGTTTTACCTCAGTGCTTTGTAACTGCTCGAGGCTGTGGTATCCTTTCCTCAGAACGAGGGAAGGCTACCGCTCCCCTTTTGCATTTAATTTCTGTTTAACGGTTCAGGAAACTTTTGTTTGGATATTTATTTATTTTTTCCTTCCTTTAATGTTTCAGTGAGAAAATTTGGCCGTATAGTGTGAAACAAACGAATGCTGAAACTTTATGATGGTGGTTTATTCCGTGTTATAAATTCTGCCTCAGGCTTCAGGATTTGCTCAATACCAGCCTGGCAGTGGCAGCAGTGAGCATATTGCAAAGCATGACAATTTTTTTCAGGTTTTACAAAGTTACCCTGATTATCTTTTCCCCTCTTTGCCTATAGCCATTTACATTTTCTGAACTAAACACAGGAATATCATAGACGTAGCTGAGAGCAGTTACTGTTTTCACAAAAAGGAATATATATCTCCACACAGGAGAGGTTTTTTCTGGTATTTGTAATTTCTTAATCTAGAATAATTTTAGTTACGTCCAAAACGTTTCACCAGACTTTTTTTGAACTCTCTTGTTCAGGTGGCCCAGACAAATAGTTTCCTCCACAGGACTGTGTCGCTTTGGAAGTAGAATTGACTGCTGCTGGGGCTGGGCCCGACTGTCCTGGGGACAATGCCAACGTGAGTATCCTTGCTGCTGGGGCTTCTAGTCACTTGTAGAAAAGGCTTGTACACACTTAGTCACGTCTTTCACATGTTCATACACATTCTTACAGTGCAGGGCTTAGGCTTTTGCACGTGTGAGTCTGACTTACTTATAAGGATGTTGTCAGGTTAAAGCTCTGTCTGTTAATAACAGTGCTAAAAATGATTGCAATCAACTAAGGTAAACTTCAGTTATGGCAATGAGAATTTGGGAATTCTGTTTGGTTTCCACTTCATCTGGTGCTCTGGTCTAACAGCCTGATGTAACAGTACACTGTGTCACCTTACAAGCGCTGCAGGGCAACAATATTTGTGTCCAAGAAGGAAACCCAAATTATTGACATTTCACTTAGATCAATGGAAGTATTTCAATTGATGTTAAGTTGAAACCCGAAACTAAGGGTATAAAAACACCTGACAGCATCCTTTTACTGGGTCACACGTAAAGAGAAACACCTCTGAAATTCTCACATCTATGTAGGATCTTTGATATAATTGCAGGGTAACCAGGTAGATAAGTCTTCATCATTAACTTCAAAATTTATTCTGTGGTGGCAGCTAGCACTGTGTAGAAGCTAAAATTGTTAGGAGTGTCACAGAGACCTCAGCTTGTTAGAATTACAGCCTTTGGTACTGGGAACACTCACTCATGTGTTTAACAGTGCACACGAGTGATATCCCTTAAGTTTTTGCAGGAGTGAACCTACAAATACTGGTTCTCCTTTTTATTTTATTTTTTATACGGATGTCTACAAGCTAGATCATTTTCTGCCAAGCCATTTTTAAAACAAACCAGTTATTAAATACTGTAAGTTGCTTAGTCTGCAGGGCAGTGACTGCAGGTGGCAAGTATTATGCAAAAGATAGAAATAGTAATGGCAATGCAACTACAGGCTCTCAGCAAAGGTTTTGTTCAAATCTGTAAACAGTAAGACTGGCTTCTTCTGTCCCAAGTGTGTTAAAAGCCCAAGATGTTTAATAGGTATATAAGATGACTAACAAAAAAACTATGTAAAGTACTTCTGGACCATAACATCCCTGATACAGTTTTTTGATGCAAAGTCCTCAGGTTGATGTCTCTCAGGCCATACCATAAATCATTTTGATTTTTAGAGCTGTAGTTGGTAACAAGTAGTCCTTTCCTTGGGGTGAATGTTTATAGAGAAGGAAAGAAGAATATGAAGTAGATTGATTGAGGCTACTCCAGAGATGATAAAATATACATCCATCTTTCATAACACAGTTTTATTTGAAAATCATTGAGCATTTCAATGCTTGGAGCTACAAAGGCTTAACTGGCATATTAATAGCCCACATTGCTTTTTTAAAAAGAAAGAAAAGAATAAAACAAAAAAAAAAATCCAAACACTTAAAGGGTCTCACTGTGGCCCTTCTCTTAGAGAAGTTGTCTCCTGTGTTGTGACTGTAAATTGCAGGTTGTGTTTAGGTGTAAGTCAATTTCAGTTATATTTGATCTTTACTTTCTCACTATTACCAAGTCTGATTTAGGGTTGCATTTTTATCGTATTGGGAGACAGGAATAGCATAAAGTGGTACTATCAGAAGATTCATAACTAAAAGTTGAAAACAAGACAAAACTAGTAATACACAGAAAGTATTTTTTATTTTTTAATTTTGTCGAGAATTCATTTGTAGTGCCAACTTGTTCAAATACTATAAAGGCACTTTTTTTTTCTTTTTAAGGCTAAAGCTAGGTGAATTCTCATCTCCTTCCACTGCATTTTAGTCCATTATTCACAGATTTGTTCTCCACGCACATTTCCAAGAAGTGCACGGATACGTTTTATGTGGTCATCTCCAGTAGGTGGGACCAGACTTTCAAAAGAATACAGTTATCACTTAGATATCTAAATGCATTTTTTCCCCCATTTTTTTTCCACACAGTGGGTACTGATAATTTTTGAGTCACTGGTTCAGAAGAGTCTGAGACATTTGGGTGAAGACCTTATTAAAAACTTAACAGCTCCTTCTAGTTTTTTAAATGGGAGCCAAACTCTTAGCAAAATAAAGCAAGAAGACCTGCCCCAGCTGTGGGTGGTGAAAATTCCAGTCATATCACAGAGCAGGAGATTACAGTAAATGAAAGTGAATCTTTCTAGTGCTCGCAGCCAAATAGAAAATCTGTAGTCAACTCTCCACCTTGGGAATGTGGCATTTGGTATGAAGGATTAACCTGGCACAGAAGGCAGCATTCCTGCCCTCAAAGGAAAACTTTGGTGTTTTACTGTACAAAGGGATATCTCTGAAAAATTTCCAGAAAGCCAGGTAAACAATTAGTTCTCCTGCTTCCTCCATGGGGAAAGGCAAACTTCGTAGTCCTGTCCCCAAAATGAGTGATACAAGTACACGTCAGACTTTCTCTACTAGATGCAGGTCTTCTTTGCTCTTTCTAGAATAAATTGTATTTGCACAATGAAAACAAGTATAGAGTCAGGCTTAAAAATTAATAGTGAGACTCAATTTACAAAGGAGTCCAAAAAGAAGCTGTAAATATTCAGGCAATAATGCTGAGCTCTATTAGTGAGCTTGAACTGCTTTTCTCAAACTAGTTTGAGCCATCCTTGATATGCCTGCAAGTTCTGCAGCACCTTTGGACTCTCACCTGCTTACTTATGCATGGTTTGCTATGTAGGCACTGATCACCTCTGAATTTATCTTTCTGACAACAAATTTAAGGTGAGAGGCATGCTGGAGCCGGAGTGTAGCAAGAATCAAGGCTCCAGTAAACAACAGGGTTGTCCCATTTTAGGGAGACCTTTGAGTCATGATGAGCCATGGGCAAGTGATCGCTAACATACCTGAATACACCTTCTGCTGTCCACCTGAGCTGCTCCACCAAACACGCATGGACATGCCTTCTGCCCATGGCTATTGAGAAAGAACTGTGTTAGTTTACACCAACTGTGTGATTTAAGGTAATGGTTTAATTGTGACAGAGGTTTAAGCCTCTCTGTGTCAGGTCTAACAGAGGAGGATTGTGGCACAGCAGACAAGCAGTAACTCATTACACCTTGGTGATTCAGTGCTCCTGATCTTCTGTCCTAATCCATCCATCCAGTTGCAAATGGAAAGTGAACTGTGTTAGCTAAACTTGCTTTTGTGAAGTGTGGAGTAATTCCTTTTATGTCCCTTTGACTGACAGAGGAGGGCACATAGAGCATGATTGTGCTTACTGCTGCTTAGTAACGCCAGTCAGCATAACTCAGCTGTCTTCTTCACTCTTATAAACATGGAGGAAGAAGTGGAAATCAGGCCCCTCCTTTAATTTACACTCTTCTTTTAAAACATCCTCTGTCTCCTGTTAATAAATTACACCTCCCCAGACTTGTACATGTAAGGAAGTGGACGTAGGTCTGATCTGTCTGTAAACTTGCTTCCAAAGCCTGTCAGTGTCAGCTGTAACATCTCAGCTTGTAGAAATACTCTTGTCTTCAGTGATGTGAAATTGCCTTCCCAAATGCCCTTTCTAATTCCAGCAAATGCACTTAGAAGGTGTCCCTCCAACTGAAATAACGAAGAACTTTGAGACAGGTTGGATATTTTTTTTTTGTCTTCCTTGCAGGTTGTGAACACCAAAGTGAGATCCATGTTTAGGCACCTAGATCTGTTTTGAGACTGATACAAATACAGCCATATTTTCAAAGAGGCTGAACAAATGTTACTGAAGTAAATTTCACTGGCATTTCTAAGTCCTTGTAAATTGAAAAGCCATCCACACTTATTTAGTGGTCTAATCTAGATTTAGAACAGTGGATATATTCAATCATTAACGTAACTGGCTTTTCTGAGGCTTTGATCTGGTATATAAACCTGGTTTATTGGTTAAACCTGGTGTGTAGAAAGGCTAATTTGGAAGCAGCAATGTTTAAGCAACAACTCTTGGTTCATGAGAAGTGACCTCATCATTGGTCCTTTACGCTGATGGACTCACAGCATCAGTGCTTTAAAGTTAGATGTTAAACATCCCAGTTGAAATTAGTCCAAAAATCCCATGGTTTTGCCCAGCCTGCGGGATTGACTTGCACCTTAATAAGTAGTAGAGGGAGTAATAGCTGTAACTGGGAGTAATCACTCAAAAGTCTGCTTCTGTGAAAAAAGGTAGGTTGATAAAGTACCTGATAAGATGCGTGTAAAAATAGGGCTGTTGTCTTGCATTTTTATGTGTTATTGTTGTGCACACAGCAGCATTGTAAGCCAGAGCAAAAGTGAGACTAGAAAGTTTCTTCAGGATTTCTTCTCTCAGAGCAGGAGGTTTTGACTTCCTGTGATAGAGTGTTTTTGCGAAGAGGAGGCATCAACAGTATATTTTTAATTCATAACTCCTTTTTTATTGTAAAGCAAGTGCAGCTGTGGTACTGAACATGTCATCCTAACCCAGAACCCATTAAACAGGTTTTAAAGTATACAGGGAAAACCAAGTTGGGGCACGCATCATTGCACACATCTTGCACAAACACACTTTTATCTGTGCCAGAAGAAAAAAAATTGCCTTAGGATATTGATTCAACTTTTTTTTTTTTTTTTTTTTAATGTGTTATTCAGCATTAATTTGTATGCGTTGAAAAAACCTGGGGGAAGAGAATTTCCAGCAGTGTTAGGGCTGGAGCTCAGTTCTTTGAGCTGGATGAGAAATGTCAACTCCAGAATAGAATTGTGTTCTATTCTGTGTTCCTGCATTCTAGCTGCTGTAGTCTAGGAGACCTGCTCAAGCCTGTCATCTCAGCATTAATTTGTATGCTTTGAAATAACCTGGGGGAAGAGAATTTCCAGCAGTGTTAGGGCTGGGGCTCAGTTCTTTGAGCTGGATGAGAAATGTCAACTCCAGAATAGAATTGTGTTCTATTCTGTGTTCCTGCATTCTAGCTGCTGTAGTCTAGGAGACCTGCTCAAGCGTTTTTTCTCATCCCCCTAGTAAGATGTCTGTGACAGTATTTTTTGGGAATGGCTGTCTTCCTGAGTGTTTCTCAAGGAAAGGATAACCTGGGGCTTGTTGTCCAAGAGTCTTTGCTAGGTCAGAGGTAGGCCAAGCAGCAGGGAAGTCCTTGGAGCCACTGCTGGCTGACCCTTGCTGAGAATCTGGTGGACAGAAACAAACTGTGAATAGATACTCACGTACTGAGCTCTGGAACCTGGGCAGCCTGTCAGAAAACTAAAAGATGGGGTAAGGGATGCACTCATTTCATTCCGAGTGCTTTTTATTCCCCAGTATTAAAGAGGAAGTATGGGGTAAGGGATGCACTCATTTCAATCAGAGTGTCATGCTTTTTATTCCCCAGTATTAAAGAGGAAGTTCTTTCCTTCAGTTTCCAACAGGCCATGCTAGGGGTTATTTGAAAAATAGTGGTTCTTTGTGGATGTTTTTGCTACTTGCCTTGCTTTTAGCTGGCTTACAAATATCTCTGTAGTTCTTTCAAAGCTAAAAAGATGGTTTCCACGTGTGTGTATCTTTCATGAACCAAATACACCTGCTTTATACTTGGCTGCATGTCTGTTTGTAATTGATTTGTAGGCTAGTTATACATAGTCAAAGTACACTAAAGATGTAGGCTGCCTTCTGCTTTAAAAGTCCAGCTGCAGTTTAAGACCCAAGAACTGTAGAAAGAGATATTACTTTAACATGGGTTTAAAACATTAAGCAAGTTTTGTTTTGTTTTTTTTTTTTTTTTTAAGAAAAGCAATATAAAACGGCTTGAATACTCACTCTGGATTACAGTTTGGACAACTCCTTTGCTAGAGGTGATGGCAAAAATGGTTCCTTTTGCTGTGTTTGCAAAGGTACAAAATAGACAGTTGGATCTGCAGCTTCTAAACTCGGGTGCAGATCGACTGTCACAGGCTCTGTTGGCGTGAGTCTGCATGACTGTTGGAGTCAGCAGAGGGTACTCTGAGGTTTTGTCTGGTGGACAGAAAGTTTGGCCAACAGAAGATGCCTAACATGGATTTTACAAGTAGTGATGTGATTTGATAACTTCACTCATTTCTATGTTGAATTCTCCTTAATAATAAGGTCGATACAGTCTGCCTTGAGAAGGGGTTGTGAAGATGAGTGGGCCCTTTCAGAGCATCCATCTGTTCTAACTCCACCTGGTTATGTCCCTGTGCTGAGGTTTCAGTGTTCTACCTAGAGAGCAAAACCACAATAGGTGAGCAAAGTAGTTTCCCACCACCTTATGCTCTAAACCCATGACAATTGGCTTAAAAGCCCAGGGGCAGAGCAATCAAGAAGGTATACAGTAAAATAGCCCATTAGTAAAAGTGTAAGCCAAGCCATCAGTTTACACCTCCCCGTAGCATTGCATCATTTAAAAATGTTAATTGAAGGATGTCAGGTTAGCATTTAGGTTTAGTCAAACCTAGAAGAAGGCACACTATGTCAGGACATCCTAAGAGGCACCTGCAGGAGAGAGAGAGGAGCTTATAGAAGCTGATAGAGCAGATGGAGGCAGAACCGAACGCTTTGCTGGGAACTGTGCATGCTGCTGCCTTCTCACACCAGTTGTGAGGAAACTGAGGCTGGCTGTGCTGCTGCTCCTGTCCTCATGAGCTTTGTATCTGTTCTGTGCAATCTATTTACAGAGATGCAGGGTGGTGGTGGTGGTGGTGGGGTGGGGGAAGAGCTGGCTGTCCTCTCATTGATGTCTAGAAGGGGATTTTGTATAATCAACGATAATGTTGTTTATATGTACCCACATAAATCATCTCACGCATCAATGAGAGAAGAGGCCATGAGCTGCTTAGGACTTCTGGTTCTTTCACATAACAATGCTTTCAGTGGAAGTGGCAATTCTGTATAGCCCAAGATGCACAAAAATAAAACCCTGATCTTGTCAATAATGAGACATGAATTCCAGGAGGCTTGACCCACTAGCAGAAACCTCCTAAAGTCAATAGGAGTTTTGTCACTGAATTCTTGGTTGCAAGAATACAGTCTATATTGATGCATTGTTTTGGCAATGTTTAATTAATACTGATATGCAGCATGTCTGCTTCTTATAAAATGAACAGTATTTTTGTGCATCCCCGGTACTTTTCAAAGAAAAGACATTTTATACAGGATTGCAATACTGCTTTAATACTGCTATGCAAGAAAAAATGAGGTTTTGCTATTTTTATTCAGTTTTTTTTTTTTCAGTTTAGAAGCTTTATGCTTTTAAAGTAGTTGTGACTTTACTATGTTAAAGATAACAGTATCCTTTCCCAGTTCCCCACTGCATCCCTCATGCACTTCATACATAGAATAATGAACTTGCAGTCCGGTTTTTCCCAAGCAAATCTCAACAGTAACATGATTTGACAATTTACAACTGCAGTATTACTCGTATTTGGAGCTTCTCTCAAAGCCCAGCAACAACTTGGGGAGCCTCCCTCCACCGTAACAAATCCTAAGGGACTTTCTGGTTAAAACTAATTTAAACCAATGTAAGTTGCAATCATAGCAAACCCTTAAGTGTTGGTCACATACTACATAAAATACAAAGGGCTGCTGTTGCATAAGTCCCAGTCTTTTATAATAAGGCTATGTAGCCTAACAAGCTATGCTGCTAACATTAATTTTATTGGCAAATAAATTGATTTAAAATAAGCCCAAAACATAAATCTGTGTTTCCATCTTATTTAACTTTTGTAGCGTATCTAGTTTCATATGGTAGTAAGAGCTGAAAAGGTCTCTAAGCATTCGTTTTAATTTAGATGACATTCGAAATTTAAACATTATAAAAATGACTAGTAAATTTATATGCCAGCATGTTTATTAGTTGCAGATGTTCAGATACTTCTAAATGGGTGTAATTTTAATTACTCTCAAATTAGCATCCAGATGCTAACCCTTTATGTTTGCTTTGTGGAGATGCAGCATTAAAATATATATACCTATATTTAAATGAAAGGATACTGTCTCTTTAAGAAAAGCTTTTATGTTCTGTTGATGGAAACATTGAACCTAAACTGTGAAACTTGAGAATTTTTACAACTACGTACCATATGAAACATGACAAAGTGTAGCTCCTTAGTTGATTGAATAAGAATAGCATCACGTCATTATATTTAATTATTCTTATGTATCAGAATGTGTTTGTTAATGAAATACTGATGTAAGGTATTTCCATTTTTAAATGTGTATGAGAATTTTTTTTTATTTCAGAAAAGCTCTGAATGTTGAATGTGTGTAAGTCTCCAGGAATGTAACAAGTTGATAAAAACCCCAGCCAAGTCCATCCTCCTTACAGGAAAAAAAAAAAAAACCCAAAAAAAGCTGGAATTTCTTTTTTTGGACATTTGTTTTGCAGCTTTCTACGTCTTAAGGCAGAGAATAGCCAGCCTAAGGTGCCAGCCCAAAGGTTAGCTGAACATATTTCTTGAAATAATTTTGGCAAGGTCATGACTTGGAGTTACAGCCTCTAAGTCATAAGTTTACATGAAAACTATAATACATGACAAGAAGATGTAGATGTTACTATTTTTTCCTTTTTTAAGCATTTGATTTGGGGAAGATGAGGGGGGAAGGAAATTAACAGGGCTGCTTTCTCCAAGTCACCTATCTGATGAGATACTTATTTTCTAGACTATTGTGCTTTTCCCTTTTCTTTCTTTTTCTTTATTTTACCCTCAAGCCCCAGGCAGTATTTTCTTTTTTCTTCAAATTGTTTATACTCGCAGCATCATATTTACAAGCTGTCAGACCTAGGAGGCCTGACTTGCTTTCACAGTGTTGGATCATGTGCAGCGGGAGGTTAGTTTGGGATGGCTGAAGCACTTACTGCTCCCTGGTGCCTGCTTTGCACCTCCACTACAAGTTGTCATTCCCACAACAGGGAAACTTTACCTCCCCTGTTCTCCAGCAGCCTGCAGCCTGGCACGTTAGAGCAAAATGAAATCAAAACCAGTTTACATTGGTACCCAGGGCTGCTTAGGAGTTGATGCTGCTTAGGAATTGCTATGTCTTATTTACTTATCCCTGTGACGAGGAGTACGGGTCTTTAGAAAGGGGAGCAAAGCAATCAGCTGTTTGTCTGTGAAAGCCAGCTCTGTTACTGTGCTACAGAAGTAACTCTGCTGAAGCCAGCAGCTGTTATATTCTGATAAACCAAATAGCAATAAGGACCAGTTTGTTTTCTGCCACCGCACATGGAGACAGTCATGCTCCTACCTGCTGGAATTCAGTAGACACACAGAAAGGTTCAGGTAACAGACAGGCACTTGAGATGATAAACCACCATTCTTTAAGCAATTATCATGAGCCACTTGAAATGCAAGCATGAAAAGATTGACAAAGCATGAAATATTTCTTGCTTTTCTAATTTTGAGTTACGTTAGATCAAATTTTCACTGATACTTAAAAAGAGTATTTAAGTGCCTGACCATTAGTTTAACTTTCATTAAACCCTATTGATGTCAGTGTTACCCATGCTTAAGTTATGCATGCTTTTAAGTGCTGTTCTGAATAGCAAGGCACTAACGAAGCGGGGTCTGGATTTGTGGAGGCAGTTTAGAAACACATTTGGCAGCCCAGGCGAGCAAAAGAAGTCAATGTGATGAATAGCCCTCGCTGGTTGCAGTTTGTCACATTAATGTGCTGTTGCCAGGATCATATGTGCGAACTGAGTAACTGATTTACCCTGGCAAATGTAGTGGTTGTGCATGAAATATGAAGAGCCACTTACTTAATGGAACTGTGTGTTTTAGATGGAAGCCTAAGCATGTGGTTTGACAACATTTGTTATTAGGAATGTTTCGAGTAAGCGCAACTAATTTGTGAAAAAATATTCAGACATTAGATACTACCATTTTATCTGATGATGTTATCAGTCTCTAGTTACAAAAGTTGGTCGAGGACATTTATTATCTTTCAAAAAATAGAGTAAGGAATGTTTTGCATATGAAATTATCTGAAAATTAATACCCAGTTGCCCTAGTCAGGCTTATTAAGCCCTGCAGAGATATATGTTGTGACTGCTAGTAACACTTATTTGAGAAGCAAAGTTATTTTTTCAGAAGTAATTCTGTAATATGAGTTATGGGTATGACTTGGTTTTACCACCTACTGGTAACTGTGCGGTAGGTTAAGCTTTATGCATTCTCCTGCATTTGTGTGTAGTTGAACAAAGGAGAAATACGTAACTCTGAAAGAGCTGCAGTGATTTATTTTACAAATTAGCTCATACCTTTGGGATGCTGATCAAAATTGCTGTGAATAAGGCAGATCTATTTTCCTGAGCATGTGTTTATGCAATTGCATAGTTTGCACAGAATTGCAAAAAGTAAATAGAAATAGACAGACGTGAGCTGAAGCTGGCTCTGAGGAAGACAAATACAGAACTTGAGGTTGTGGTCTGTTAGCGTCACAGGAAAAACAGAGCCACTTTCAGGTGAAGGAGGAGGTGTAGAGGAAAGCTTGTTTTACCAACATACCAGTCTTGTTATACACTTGGCACTGGGGGAACACAAGTAGTGATCGTAAGACTGGAAGTCTGTTCTGCATTCAGCAGTGTAAGAGGATCCAGTAAAGGTTTGTGAAGCTGAATATTCTGTAATCTTCTCTGGGCTGATGTGCAAATTACTTTCTGTGTTTGGGCAAACTGAATGTTAAGGAGCTGGGCTTTAGAGTCAAAATAAGTATGTTACTTGAGAAGGCAGAAGCAAGGCCATTCAGGCAGGTGGTCAGCGTAGTTTGTTTCAGATGCAGGTATTCTTATGCATATTTTTAGACTATATAGAGGTGAAAATAGAAGTTCAAGAACAGGTTGGACATCTGCAGTCTGGCATTTTGAGGAAGATTTGAGTGGAGAGATGCAGAAACTTCTGCAACTTCTGTCATAAAACTCTCTTGTCGTCATTGCTCAAGAAAGAAAAGGCGAGGAATAAAAACTAATCATTAGGGGAGAGAACTTAAGAGACAAAGCAGAGAAAAAGAATGTAAGAATTATACACAAGGCTGTTTTGATGAAAAACATAGCTAGGAGTGTTGGAAAACCAAAGAAGAGTTGAGTTGGTAGAGATAACTCCACTAGGAAAACTCAGGGATTTCCATTGTTGGCCACAAATGAAGAGCAGGAGTTAGGCAGGTAGGAACTAAACGGTGCAACCGACTGGTTATGACTCCACCAAAAGTGTTTTCTAATCAAGAAATAAATCATTAACGTTAAAATTCTAGACAAGAAGGCATAGAGGGAACTGCATGTGGTAGTCAACTGTTGCCCTTAAAAGGTGGGCAGCTTAGTACAGAGGATCTGACCAAACTTGAGGGGGACTTCCAAAGCAGTTTTGATGGAACTGTGTGCAGGGAGAAAATACAGATGAAACTTTAAAAAACCCAACATTATAGACCTGTAATGAATTGACTGGATGTGTTTTTCATTTACTGTATTTATGCAACAATTAAAAAATAATAATTCAGAAGGATTGAGTCATGCTCAGACATCACCAGCAGCTAGTAGTGGCTGGGGAGATTGGTGGTTTCTGGCTTTTACACAAGCATAACACATACTAACAGAACTTCTGGTGAAATGCATGTGCTTTCTCCCTTTCTTCCCATACTTGAAAAAAAACACCCTAATCCTAAACCCAAACCACTCATTCATGTTTCAATTCCTGGTGTTATATTTACAGGAAGTTTAATTTGGCCTGAAGTTTAAGTGAGACTTAAAATGTGGTATTTATCATCTTATTTTGGAGGAAAAGGTAGTTCTTGCCAACCTTTTAAATAGGTACTCTGTTAGATTTATGGCCAAATAAAAGGCCACTGTCTAAATTTCCTGCTTGCCTAGTAGGGAAGTGAGTGTTGCGTAGCAGACTGAAGTCCATGGACGTGTCTTACCTCAGTCATTGTAAATGTGAGTTGATCAGAGGGAAATCATGTTCTATTGGTTGTTGTGGTTGGTTGGGGGGGAATTTTTTAGTTGTCAAGGTGCAAAGAATATTAGTTGGGAGACTGTTTTCCCCACTACTTATTAGCCTAATGGCGTTTAAAAATGGATCAACACCATGTGTTTTTGTGTGAGCAGAGGAAATGAAATATCCTATCCTATTCTATCCTATCCTAATTTTGCAAGTGAGTGAGTGGAAAATTCAAAGAAAAAGCCCAGTTTCATCATGGCTAGACTCATGCCAAACAGCTGAAAGAATTGCCTGCTATTATAAGCAGTGCTGAAAGTCAGGCTCAATCTTATTTTTATACCTGGCTCTCACTGTTGACCATGTTCAACCAGAACCCTTTGGGAGTCAGGGAGCGTATCTCTGCTGCTGTGTGGGGACAGTTCCTCTGTTGGAGAATGGAGTGGTTGAGCCATCCCACCCTTACTGCAAAGAGCTTTTCTCTTGTGTGTAGAAATTCTTCAGTTCTAGCATTGTATTGAATTTCAGCAGCTGTGTATAAATAAGATGCCTAATACTTAAGTAGCCAAAGTGCACAGAATGTACTCTCATAAACAGGATTTCTTCAAGTACAACATTTGGCAGCAAACATAGGTTTCCAAATACCTGTTTAATGGAAAAAAAAAAAAGCATTTTATGATGACTTTGGCTTTATGGATAGTGGTTTAGTGGTTTGCTAATCATTAGGAAACTTTCCTTGGGGTAGTAGAGATTCTTGAGCTGTAGACTGCTGAGGGGCTGAGATCTCTTTTAACTAGGACTTTTAATAACAGGAGAGATCTGTCATGTGATTTAAGTTCATTTCTTAATTATATCTTGAGACTAGGAGGTAGACTAGTCCAGGAGCTACCTACCTGTATGTCCTACAAGACATTAAATACCGCTTAGTATGGGGCTAAGTTTGTTGGCATGTATTGGACTAGATGATCTCTTGAAGATCCCATAGATCCTATGGCTTGATTTAATAAAGTAGCCTATTTTACATGTTTAATATCTGTAGACAGTTGTATATTATTTGTTTCAAACAAATGCTAATACATAATATTTCTTCTAGTACAATATCTGACCCACTTGGTTAACTGAGAGAGTTAAAGAAAACATCTGATTCCTAACACAAATGTATTTGACCTTCTGAATTAGAGGAACATTTTCATTTCTAAATGAAATGAAAATCTCATTTATTTCATTACTGATTTTTTTAAGGCTTTTCGTGTTCAAATATGATATTGGTTTTTTCTCTGATGTGCTGCTAATTTACAATCTATGCAGTTCAAGGTGGGACCAAGACACTAAAAATGTCAGCTAAACTGAAATTGCCACAGGTTCAGCTACTGAACTGTAACATTCCACACCAAGCTGATCCTATGGCATTTTGTGGTTTTTAAGGAGTAATTATTGCTTAACTGTATCCTACTCCACAATATGGATTTTCTCTAAAGTGCAGTTGAAGTTTCATGGAAACTTTCAAAAACATATTTATAGTCATTTCTGTTTCTCTGCTGTAGTTTAGGTCACATCTTCTTCCCCCAAAGTCATGAAGTTGGTCTTCATAGTCTTTGTTGGCTTTGTTGATGTCAGGAAGATAAGGGTTTCAGTGTCTAAATGGACTCTTACGCAAAGATAATTTTTTTTTTTTTTCTGCTTATGACCATAGCAATTAAAAAAGCAGTAGTTGTTTACAAGTCCAACGTTCTAGAAGTTTTTCATGATATCCCGGTTGCTCTTCGGTCAAATCTGTCCATTACCCAGGGGCATAATTTTTGAAACATACCTTTTAGTAGTCTAAGCAGCCCCTTTCCCTAATGCTTTAATTGAGAGGCATTTCTGAATCTGAATCCCGTTTCTTTGTTTCTGGATATTGTTTATTGGAAAAAATAATCTTGTGTTAACTAGAAACATCCTTCTCTGTTGCCCTTTAAGATATTCCTTAAGACAATTTTTGGAAAGGGACTGCACCATCATGTTAGGAAGATCTGACAAGAGCAGTGCTGTAGATTTAAAACAAGCTTTTAAGTTCTCAGGGAATGTCACTGGCCATATATATAATATTTAAACAAAAAATTGCCCTGATAATAAAGGGCAGATGCTGTCCTAAAACTGGAGCAAACTCCTTCTATGCTAATAGTTGCTTCTGTGGATGCATTTGTGGGAATTGCTGATTCTGGATGCTTTGAATCTTATGGAAAAGATTTTAGAACATCAGAGATTTATTTGCATAATTCTTCGACAACCAAAACTAATCTCTTGTTTCTGTTACAATTGTGTTGTTTTTTTAATTCAACCCTGTTGAACAGTTTGGCTAGAATGCAAGCTACATTTTTGAGTGCCTTCTGACAGATTTCTGTTAAATTACATCTTTAATACATCCAGTTTTATGATATGGCCTGTTGTCAGATTAATTAGTATTACAGTTGGATCTAGTTAGTTACTTTTAAAATTCCAAATCATACTCTTAGTTTCGAAAATGAACTTAAGGCCATGGTAAATTGTAACTCCTGATTACAAGGTATTGAATTTATGCCACCCTCTGGTTTCTGTCTTAATTTGTGTCCATCTTGCTTAAACAGTAAGCTCACTAGAATTTTGCATCTGCATTTTTTCATATAATGATAAACAACATTTTAAAGCATAGTAAATGGTTATCCAGTAGGTCAAAACAGTATTTTTAGTAATAGACATTTCTAATGGAAAAGACTTGGAAATATTGGTTAAAATTCTCAGCTGTAAAATTGTTTCCAGAGTTACGCAGGTTTCATTGCACTCTGAAAATATTCCATTATTACCATGTCAGCAGAAATACATTTGTGCATGAATTCTTGTATTTCTTCAAAAGCAATGCTTGTTTCATTACTGGAAGTTGTAAGAGTTTGTTTTATGAATGTTTTTTCTACTATATTTAGAGAGGTACCAAAAACCAGCTTCCTAATGATTATTTCTTGGGGTTGTGTATTTATGCTCCATTTGGGAAATTAGAAATTACCTGCCAAATTTGACTCTGGAAGCAGAATAGATGATAACTTCACATTTTGAGACTATATCTGCACAGCAGGTTGGGTAATAAATGCTTGGAACGTTCTGAGTTCCAAGTGACTTGGATGTGTGAAGTGATAAAGCAGCACATTACAGTCAGTATTGCTTTTGCTTTTACCCAGTCCTTTTTTCCTCCAAAAGGAAAACAAAAAAATAAAAAATAATTCCCTCACTAGAATACAGACACCAGAAAGGGAGAGATTCAGGTAAAAAAACCCATGGTTTAATAAGGGGGTAAGGAGTGTTGTCTTATAGTAGTGTTGTACAAAAATAGTCTACTAAAAGTATCTCACTCTTCCCACGTGTATTGAGGTGGTGGTAATTTTTGAAAGTGCACCTGATGTTTGACAAGTGGTATCTGAAGCATATAATGATGCTGAACTGAGGAGCGTAAATGGTACTATTTGTTAAGTCATTGTAATTTTTTTCAAAGTAAAATACTGTCAGCCGTGACTGGAGTGGAAGAATAATGAATATTTCTCTCTTTGCAGCTATATGCCAGCCAGGATGCAAACATGGTGAATGTGTTGGGCCAAACAAGTGTAAGTGCCACCCGGGATACACTGGAAAAACCTGCAACCAAGGTAAGAAGGTGAAGTCCAAGGAAAAGAATTTCTTCTTGAAATCATAGAAGTATTGTTGATCTTTCTCTCCCCAAATGCTCTGTGTGTCACCTGCAGTTATAGTGTAATGGACTCATATATTAGGTCTGTTGCTGGTGTAGCTATTCTGATACTGGGACTGACATTTGTAGGGAGAATGGCATCTGCAGTAGGATAGCACAGGGGAAAAAGTTACTTTCATTCAGATAAAATCATGAGATTAATGTGAAGTGTGTATTTACATGCTCTTCTGAATCGATTTATTTAAAACCTATGGGTAGGGATTGTTATTTCATGAAGTCAAAATCTTCAGGTTTGGATAGTGAAATAACATTCATTTAACTAAACCCCATTTATTTCATGTATTCTCAGTTTTGTGTTTGTAATCCTGGACTTCCTAGGTAGCAATAAACTCTAGTGCATACTGAAAAGTTGGAAAGATGAAGTGTTCTCTTGCTGAATTATCAATATAGTTTCACTGTAGATTTTTTTGCCAAAAGCTGATCTCCAAAACATGCAATGGTATAAAGATCATGGAGTATAAATAGAATTGTAATGCATGATTTATTAGATTTCGATGCCTAAGACATATTCACATAAAAGATATCTCAGTAAGACTTTCTCTTTTCCAGTTGTCTCAGCCTACAGAAAAAGTTCATGTTTTGTGAGAGTGCTGAGGAAGTGTGGCAGAAAAATGGGAACTTTTTGAAGTGTGGGAACATTTAGAACTGTGTTCAAAAATGTACACTGACATTTGCTAACCTTCTTCTGACGTGCTGATTTTAGAGCGAATCGTTTTCTTTAAAAATAGATAAATATTTCTTTCCAGATTTACTAAACCTTCTCGAAGGGATGTGGACGTGAACGTTGTATTGTTCAGTTTTGGTTTAAGTGTGATTTATTCTGTTACCTCTCAAATTATCCTGCCTCCTTTTTCCCATTTACTCTGGGCTGACATTTTAAAGGATGGGTTGTTAGGATTTTATTATTCTACACCTGTTTTGGTCAATCTGGAACTTCTATTAAAAACTGTGCAGTGAACAGTTGTTTTATGTGTATGTGGCAGTTTTTATATGTGCTAATTATTTTAACAATGTCAACAGAATGCTGTGCAGATTGCTGTAGGCTGCAGACTTGAACTAAACTATTCACTTTGCACTAAATGCTACGGAAGGGAAAAAACGTGGTGATAAATGACTAAAGTAAAGCTTTTGGGCAGTATTGATCAAATATTCTTGCACAGCATTGGTGCCAAAGTTGCCATGGCAGGTGTGTGTGAGGTTTCTGAGATGCCTGCTGGCAGTGGTGTCCCAAATGTACCTTGGTTCAGGTGACTACAGCCTATATCTGTTCTGTTCTGTGGTGAGACCCTTGAGCTGTTGTTGGGGTTGGCGTGTGCGTTCTTGCCATCTGCCAATTCCACATTAGGATGAGACCTGCATTTGCATAGGGGATGCAGGGTCTGCTTTTGCCGAGAGGAAATTCAAATGGCACAGGATAAGTGTGACCTGTGTTACTACAATTTAGTATAGCACCTGTTCTGTTCAGTTCATGGGCCATCTTTCTTGTTTGTGTTCTAGAATAATAATTGGTGATAATAAAAAGTAATGGTGTTGGTGGCGTGGGTTGGGTTGGGTTGGGCTGGCTGCTAAAATGGACAACAAATGCTCTCTTTAAGTTCTCTCTCAAGGGAGAGAAGAATGAGAGGGAGAGAAACTTATGGACTGAAAAAGAAATTAAACTACTTTAATGAAATATTAAAATAATAATAATAGAAGATAATAATATTAAAGAGAAAATAATGACATTTATACAGTATATACAACCCGTATCAGTATGACAATCACATCACCAGCAGTCACTGAGGAAGTCCCAGACTGGACTCAGCAACAGATGGGAACTAGACTGTGGATCTGGATTCAGGAACAGTGGATTGGGATCAAAGGCAGGCAGACAGACAGACAGAGTCCTCCTCAGACGCTGGCCATTGAAGAAAAGATGCTGACCCCTGTGATCCCTCAGCTTTTATAGTGAGCATGAGGCAGATGGGATGGAATGCACTTTGGGTCACCTGTCCTGTCTGCTCCTCCCTATGGGTTCGACCCCTCTACTCTCTTCTGCTCCTGACCCTCCAACGGGGCACACAACAAAGTTATCTGACCTTGGTTGTTACAGCAATAAGTGTAAGCAAGAGCCTCTCTGCATACCATTCCTTGGCTTTAACCATAAACATCAGGCCTTATCACTCTGGTAACGGACACTGTCTGAAGAATATGCCTTTAATTTCAGAGAGTTAGAAGAGGCTTAATTGAAAATTAAAATTACTGAAAAGAAAATTGGTTCTGTTTTACTTCAAACCGGGACAGTTGGCAAAAGAAATATTGGAGCTCCCCTGCAGAGATGGCAGTCTTTCTAGTATGTGTGAGTGGTGCTGGGCTGTGACGTGGTGAAAGGTGTGCTTTTGAGTCCAAGCACTGATAAATAGGCTTTGCATCTCATCCGTTTGTGCCCCTTGCAGATTAAGCCATATTCCAGGGACCAATCCAAGGGAAGAACCCATTCCATTCGGACAGCAAAACTGTTGAACCTCGACTGTGTGATGATGCCTGGATGCTTGTCCCTTTCCAGCAGCACTGCAGTGGCTGTGGCAAAATAGACCAAGCTTTAGGTCACTTGGAAGTTAGGAGGAGCTGATAACCATCTCTTTTGTTACGTTGTGACATTCGGCAACTAAATCTCAGTGACTTTGCAAGAGCTAACCCTCTGCTCTCCCCACAGCCTTCAAATCTCCTGAGTGCCTTTAGTGTTTCCCTTCTAGCTTTTTGATCTCAAGTTTACAGCTGTAACCAGTTAAGAAAAACGCTGAGTAACTTGAAAGAAAATACCCTGTGCTGGCTCTCTAATTTATAGTGATAATAACGGAACTAGTACTTCTTTCAAAATGTGGTCATCAGGAAGTTGATACCTGCTCTTCAGTAAGATCTGTGTTCGCAGACAAATGCTAATAATTGAAATGCAGGGTAACTTTGTGTGGCTGGGGAAGGTTGCTTTTAAGAAAAGAATGTAAGGCAGTTTTTCTGTAACTTACTATCCTCATATCCTGTTAGTTCCAGGAACATGATGCAAAAGTTTGCTACTTTCTCTTTTTGTAACACAATTCTTGCCAGCGCTTCATTTTTATGTATTTATTTATGTATTTTTAATTGTGAAGTAATGCATATTACAAAGATCTGGTTATTTTTATTATGCCTTCTCCCCATCCTGTGAAGATGAGCAGCTATATTCAAGTCCACCTGGTCAGAGCAGTGAGGCACTTCTATTCCGTCCCCTGGATCATCATGGAAGAAATATAGCATGGAGGGGTGAGATGGTCCTGTATTTCAGGTGGCGTGCTCCTTCTACCTGCACGGCTTGACACAGTAATACAATTTAGGGGTTGGAAGCTAATAGAGTGATGGCTGTTACGTGAAAGCTGAACCTGCAGTGTCATTAGCATGCAGAGCAAACAGCTGTTTGTATTTCCTTCATGCTGTGTGCCTGGACTCTGAAAAGGCTTGACTCTCCACCATACTTACAGTTGTAACAACTTTTTTTTTTTTTTTTCCTCTGCTCTTCTTTCAGGGCCTGCGCTTTTTATTTGTTTCTGAGTTCCTCTGTAAAGTGAGAATGATGGAATTTGTTTATCAGGTCACATAAGGACAAAACTGTGAGGGTTTGCTAACTTTTGTGTTTGGCAGCTGTTGATTAATCAGATGAAGTGATGTGAACAAAACTCTCTTAGGGTGATACAAATCTCCTCTCATAAGTTTGACATGGCAGTGTGATGATAATTGCTGGAAATGAAAGCTGATCGACTGTTTATAGTGTGGTGGTAACAGTTTAACTTTTCACTTGGTTTCTGGTCCCTGGTTTTCTGTTTTCAAAGTCTGAGTAAATACAGTATTAAATATTTGAGGTCTTTGTTGCCTGATCCAAGCTAGCTAATAGGCAGAAAAGGTCTGAGTGGTGGAGGATTTTGCAGAAGCTAATTAAAGAAACAGCAGCGTGTACTGCATCTTCCTAGGAGTAAGTGCCCCACTGTTAGGTGTGCACTGAAGTCAGTCATTTTCCAAGATGATGTGTGGTGCCACACAGTAGCAAAGTTGTCACATCCAGATTTGCCAGCACTTTTGTCCTTTTCCTTGCATTCACATTTTCATTTCATTTCCTTAAATATAAAATACTTGTGCTCAGTAGCCTGTGCTTATGTTCTAGACCTGCTTTCCATAGCACCCAGAACTGTCAGTCTGCTTTTATGTGCTGTCTTATGTTATTTGGAAATCAAGAATGCTGCTTTTGCATTCACCATGCAGTTGTAGACAAGATGGGAATTTAAGTGGCTGAACAATGAAATTCTCAAGTGCAAGACAGTGAGTGGACATTCACACAAAGAAATTAAAAGGATTTGTTAAACTTTTTAATAGTGTTGACCTCTATATTTTGAATTCCAGTGTGACATTATAAGTGACTAAAAGAAATGATAGTATTTTATTAAAAAGAAAAATGATGTAAAAGTGTTAATTTTATTACCCTGTATACATTTTAGCTTTCAGGTTTTTTTAGAGGAAACTTTACTGTTTTCCTTATTGCCTTAATTTTGATGCATAGACATTTGTACTTGAGATGCCTTTATGGATGTTGCTTGAGATACACAAATGATAAGTAACCAGCATTTTTTCAAGAGGTTATGTTGCTACGGCTGATATTTTGAGTGCTGACATTAGCCTGAACCTGTTCTTGGAAAAATAGACCTTATTTAAGGTCTGCGCTGGTGAAAAGAAGAAAAGTTGCATTTTGGGGAAAGTGAGACGGGCTGAGCAGTGTGCTCTAGCACACCTAGCCTCTTTGCAGGCTGGCTTCTCTTAAGCAGCCCCAGCACTGCCAGTACTTGTTTTCTTAAACAGTAGCATTCATTCTGACTCCATAGGTTAAAAATATCTTTCTCTAAATAGCTAATTTCAAAGGCAAAATGGAAAACCCGTGACACATGAGGTTTAGGTTTAAGTGGTGTTGTGCTAACGGCCTGTTTCTGCTGCCTTGTGACCTTAGCTTTCTGTTACATCAGCCAAGGTTAAAACTCTGAACTTTTTCAAGACACAGGCATTTTACTTTCAGCATGGTTTTTGAGATGTGAATCAAAAGCTGATGTTGACAGCATTTGTTCACAGGCAGAAATAGAATGAGGCGAAGACAGTAGAAATAACGTAGTCAAAATTCCACAAATGAAAAGCGTGTGATGTGATACCCAAATGCAGTTGATTGCTCCTACTTTTTAAGATCAGGTTATTCTCAGAGTATGTTACTAATAGCTGTCTATTTGTCGATACCACAGCTTTCATTTCTGTCCTAAGAATATTCTGTACCAAATGGTGGTGTAGTACTCAGAGTCCTATAGAAAGAGCCAATTATTTAAGGCTCATAGTGTAATCTATACTTTATGTAAGATGGTAAACTGAGAACAGTCATAAATTCTTGTCGTTTTCAGCTTTGGATGTGTGGTTGTGGCTCTGGATATAAATGGGAGAGTTCTTAAGGGTTAAGTCCTTAGGAGTGTCTGAACTCAAGAGCTGAAGTGCAGTGGGATGCAAGCACTAGAAGTTGACTGGGGCACTGTTAAAATTCTGCCCTTAAGCATTAAAATGCTTAATTTCAGCAGTACCCTTATTCATTCTCTCCCTACTTCTGGTTAGGTATTTTATACTTAGCTTTGTTGTGCATTTATTTTGTAAAGTGAGCTTTTTGTACAAAAGAGGAACAATACAGATATTTTAGAACTTTTTTTTCTTTTGCTGCAAGATGGCTGTTGTCCGTGAATCTCCGAATAGTCAGCAGTGTGGGCTTTGTGGTGGTACTTTTAGGAATTGATGTCAAACTCTAACAGAGTTTTTGAATTTAACAATAAATTTTTAAACAGACATGTTGCATGTCTAATAAATGTCTTAAAGCAGCTTTTTGTGCCGCCCAGAGAAGTTTGCCTCCCAAAACACAAACTCTTTCACAGTAGAAAATGTACATCCCTTCTACAGCTGTTTCTCTTATACGCTCTTCTGGTTGTGGCACTGGTGCCTGCTGGGAGAAGTATGTTCTCCTTGAGACTCCAGAGGTGTTTTCAGACTCCCAAAGAGTGGGAGTTGGAAGGGGATGCTCTTCCTGCAGCTCATGACTGTGGGGAGACTGCAGAGATGGTCATCACTCCTTGTTTGACAGGCACAGCTCCGATCAGCCAAATATTGGCAACTCACTGAAGACCTGCCTGTGCCCACTTGGTCTTCCTTGCCCCTCTAGGAGCAAACACTTCCCTTCAGGCTTCCTAGAATACCTTGCTCAGCCTTCTGCAGGATGAAAGGGAAAGCTATATCCCTTACCACTGCCCTCTCACAGTAGGGAGGAGCAGGAAGTATTCCTATCCCTAAACCTGTTGCTCTTCCAAAGGCTTTGGAAAAGGAGGTAAAAACAGTCATATCCATCAGTTAAGGGAAGGTTGTGGGGAGGGATAAATACCTGTCTGCATGGTGCTCGCTCGTCCTTGGCCCCAGGAAGATGAAAATAAAGTGGGTCAGAAGAGAACAGATTTAATGATACGTATAAACATTGTTAAGTATTACTGATTTAATTCTAACCAGAGGTATATTTGTCTCTCTTTTTTAATATCTTAACTTTAACCCTTCACGTCTAGTCCATTGAAAGCATGTGTCTCCTGCTCAGCTGGCATGTTATAAATGCCCACTGTGTTCATGTGTCTACCACGTGGTAGGAGCCCCAAAGCTTACCTGTCTGCTACGTGAATTAGGGAGTGACTCCTGATGACAATGTGCTTAGTAGTGGAGATGGCTCTTCAAAAAGTTCTTGGAAGTAACAGACCTCCAGATAACATTGTGCAATATTAGAGATGAGGGTCGGTAACTCAGTTGTTTAAACACTTGCTGGCTGGATTTGTGAATAGATTTATTGCTTTCACTTTTATTGTCATATTTACTCGTCATAAAATAACTAAGTAACAAATTATTGTGGTTTACCCAAGTAAAACCAAGATATATTATTGGAAGAAAATTCTGAAGGAAATGCTCACTCAGTCTTTACTTCTTGTTAGGAGCCTTGTCTAATAATACAAAAATTGTAGGCTGAATATTTTCAATTTGTCATGAATCCTGTATTAAATTGTAAATCTGAAATAGGAGCCTTGATGGATAATCCTTGACAAATACCAGTGATGTCAGATACCTTTTTTCAGTATTTTCTAGATGGTGAGGAACATATTTTCTCTGTGAGATTGTTTAAAGTAGGTTAGCACCAGCTTTCCTACCTTTTTCTGCGACTAATTTTGAAGCATGGTAGTGGGTCACTGAATCGCCATCAGAATCACTGATAGCGATTGCAGCAGTGACATTTGCTTTCTCCCTCTTCCTCCTCCAGTGTTCTGGCTGGTCCTGGACATGGCATCAACATGAATAGTGGCAAGATGTGGGCAGCTTGTGCATTTCCTAATGAAACTTCTGTTGGCACTCAATCTAATGCTTAATGCTGTCGTTTCTGAAAGGGTGTCTGTGAAACCGAAGGAAATCCACCACTTGGCAGGAGGGGCAACCAGTGCTTCATGCAGGATGTTCTGGACCCTCGCTATCAGCTGGGCTGCCTATAAAAAGCTAATTGCCCTATTTTTCCTTCTTTTTCCAGGAACTTGAACTAGTAGGTTTTTTTTCACACGTACTTTTGTGTGTTTTCTTTTCCTACCCCCTTCCCTCCTACCCTTCGTTTCAGATCTAAATGAGTGTGGACTAAAGCCCCGGCCGTGCAAGCACCGGTGTATGAACACCTACGGCAGCTACAAGTGCTACTGCCTGAACGGCTACATGCTTATGCCAGATGGAACCTGCTCCAGTACGGCAAGGCTTTGCTGCTTGCTTTTGTTCAAGACCCCCACTTGGGTTTCCCTGGAAAACTTTTTATGAGATGAAGATGAATCCCGAAGTAAAAGATTAATCTCGCTGGAAATTAGGCACTTGCACGAGATGAGCTTCTGTTTTCTAATGAAATTAGGCTGAACGGAGCAAGTGCAAATATTTTATTAGTTTTATTACAGGTTTTCCCAGAAGCATTCTTTGGTGCTATAAATCACTGTCAATTGGCCTTCAAGGACAAGTGCTTGCAGTTTTCATTGCAGCAAGACACCTGCAGTTCTGCTCTATGTCCTTATGAATGTAAAATCATTAAAGCAGCAGATGGTGGTGGTTTGGCTGGTATAAAATTGTATTGCCATCTCTCTGGAGATCAGGTTCCTACTTGCCCCATAAAAGTGGATACTTTAAGTGCCTGGACAGAGAGAAGGGGAGAGAAATTATCTTTAATTAAAGATGCTCCTATTTTAAAATGACAGTACTGTCGAGTGGGGGGGTTATATTCCTCATAGGGGCTGCATTCCATGGCACAACTTGCTACAATTGTGGTGGGTTTGTTTTTTTATTTTCTTGGAGATGTAATTTGTGGAAAGAAAAAATTTACTGCATATGCATTTGCTCTTTAAAGCTTGAATGGATACCTGTGAAATTGAACACGGGTTTTTCCACTTCTGTCGTAATTACATCTTAATTCTCCAAATTTGTAGTCGTTTTCTGGTGCTGATCAGAGTCCTTACGTCAACATGTGCAATTATTTTTCCCCAGGTGCCCTTTCTTGCTCGATGGCCAACTGTCAGTATGGCTGCGATGTTCTGAAAGGGGAGGTGCGCTGCCGCTGTCCTTCTCCAGGGCTTCAGCTAGGGCCTGATGGCAGGACTTGTGTAGGTAGGTGATCAAATGTAGATTTAAATGTTTTTCTCCAAAATGTTTTTATCCTTACACTGAATGGAGTTCAAGAGAGTTTATCAGATGTATAGAATGCATGCATGTTTAAAGACTTTACTAATGAGAATTGGGATAGGCATGTTGCTCAGGTGGTCTCAAGAGGTCTGTGTCAGGGATCAACAGTGTTTTCCTCCAGTCGTGCAAGTTTCATTGACTGCTTAAAACTCCTGTGGGCTGCTTGGCATCCGAGCCCTCAACCCATACCACTCCTGTTACTGCATCATTTTAAACTATTGCTGACAGAAACTCCAAAATACCTGCCTGCAAAAAAAAAAAAAAAAGAAAAAAAAGGAATAGGGAGGTCAGCTCTCCCTCATACCCAACAATGTGGTGCCCAGGCCCAGGGAGTAGAGGGATAATTTGTGCAAATCATTGAGATTGTACTGGGACACGGTGAAGGTCTGTGCACACTCCCAATATTCATGGTTTTGAAGCTACTTTCTTTCTTCCATACTCCAGCTTAAAATTAATTCCGGAATTCAGACTGTATAAAAGTGAAATGTTTTGTTCCCACTTTTGTGACCATGGAAAAAGTGCTTATGGTTAATCAGACTGTATTGTGGCATGTGATTTCATTAGTCATTAACTATACATCCTGAGCGGATATGATGCTCCAGTGATTTTATTATTTATATTCTATGCAGTGCTACAGTTCCATAATCAGTAACAATGCTTCCACTGAAAGAATGTAAGAGAATGTGGATGCCCTAATTATCCATTTGGGTATCATGGCTCTCCACAGGGAAGGTGGTTCTTCAAGTGGCTGACCCATGCTGACCAAGAATTTCTTGGCAGAGCAAGGGACAGATTCTAGATCTTCTGATGTGACAGGCAGGCTCAGCTCTAAGCTGGAGGCTTTCTGAGGTCTCAATGACTTTTTTGCCTCAGTCTTCACTGAAAAACGTTGTAGCCACACCACCCAAGTTGCAGAAGGCGAAGGCAGGCACTGGGAGAATGAAAAACCTCCCACTGTAGGAAAAGGTCAGATTTGAGGCCATCTAAGCAACTAGAAAGTGCACAAGTCCATGGGACCTGATGAGACACATCCACAGGTCCTAAGGGAACTGGTGGGTGAAGTTGCTAAGCCACCCTCCATCATATTTGAGAAGTCGTGGCAGTCCAGTGAAGTTTGCACTGACTGGAAAAGGGGAAACATAACCCCCATTTTTAAAAAGGGACAATAGAAAGACCCAGGGAGCTGCAGCCAGTCAGTCTCACCTCTGTGCCCAGCAACATCATGGAGCAGGTCCTCCTGAAAACTGTACTAAGGCACATGGAAAATAAGGAAGTGATTAATGACAGCCAACATGGCTTCACTAAAGGCTAATTGTGTCTGACAAATTTGGTGGCTTTCTATGGTGGGTTTACAGCATTGGTGGATAAGGGAAGAGCAAGTACTTGGACTTGTGCAAAGCATTTGATGCTATCCCTCATGACATCCTTGTCTCTAAATTCTTTGCTGTGAGGGTGGTGAGACACTGGAACAGGTTGCCCAGAGAAGCTGTGGCTGCCCCATCCCTGGAGGTGTTCAAGGCCAGGCTGGATGGGGTTTGAGCAACCGGATCTAGTTGAAGATGTCCCTGCCCATGGCGGGGGGATTGGAACTAGATGATCTTTGAGGTCCCTTCCAACCCAAACCATTCTAAGATTCTATGAAGGGCATCTATGTATGCAAAAGAATGGACAGAACAGGAGAAAAGAACCACCACCATTGGCACAAACAGAAGGGACTGTGTTGTGATTAATCACACTGTGGATGTGACAGCAGACAGAGATCTTTGGAAGAGCCTTGTTTCATGCATTAGTGAGCTGAGTGATTTTAAGTATAATTCAAGGAAGTTATATTAAATATAGAAATCTGATATAAAAATACTTGCAACATTCTCCCAGTGTGCAGTTTTATATTCAGACAAACTTCAGACTTTGAAACAAAGTGTGCTTTTAGTGCCAAAGGCTGGCAACTCAGACCAGTTACGTGAAGCTCCTTCAGTTCTTCAGTGTAGTTTTCAAAAAACCACCTTTTTTCCCCCAGACAGGTGAAGAGCTGTGTAGCCAAATTTCAGTTGAGGGTTCATCATTCAGATTGATCTCATAACATACTTTAAAATTTTCCACAAAACATTCTGGCCAGTCTTGTACAATACAGAGAAAGTAGTCACAGCAAGAACTGTCTCTCCTTTGTGGCACATGGCCTCTTCTGGTTGGAGGTGTCCCTGCCCATGGCAGGGGGGTTGGAACTAGATGATCTTTAAGGTCCCTTCCAACCCAAATCATTCTATGATTCCATGACTGATCTATTCCCCTTTTTTAGGTAAGAAGTGATTGTGACATGCACCCTTTTTGTGTTATTTCTCTATTAAGTTTGAGCTGTACTAAGACCAGTAAATACCTCCAAGAATTGAAACTATTTGGGGCTAAGACTGTACCTTTTCCTCACTTGTACTGGGGAGGTTGTCAGCTCCAGTGAGGGTCTGGGTGTTGCTGCAGTACAAATAAAAGTGTAGGTGATAGTAAAAAAATTGAAGTGTACGTTGGCTGCAGCTCATGAAATTCTTGTTTGAGGAGAGTTTGAAAGACAGCTGGGAATGTAACGCGTATTTTTAGCACAGGTGGAAATTCCTCCAGGCATTATTCTATTCTTAGTTTAACCCATGCTGATCATGCTTTTGTTAAAAAGTTCCTTCCAGACAATCAGTCAAGAGCCACCAAACTATTTGGCTAGAAAGGTAAATCATATAAACTAAATAACAACGAATTGAAATAGAATTCAGCAAAGTATTCAGTGAAAATACGGATTAATCGGCTAATTAATTGATTGATTACTCTTGAATCAATAAATCAATCGGTGTTGCCAGCTTCATGCCCTGGTTTTCATAAGAAGGAGCCACAAGCCACAGCCTGTTGCAGCGGGCTACATTAGGTTTTAAAGAACATAATCCATGGCATGATGATGTATATTCTGTGGCTAATCTTTTTCTTACTGAATTCCATTTTGAAGTTGTGGTTTAGAGATGGAAAAAAAGAAAACCAAAACCTAATAGTAATCGAGTCTGAAATTTGCAGCCTTGAAATCATACTTCAATGAAGAGGAGAAAATTGTGGGCTTTGAATTAAATGACTGAAAGGAACACGGGAGAATTTGTAAAATTGTTAATAATGTACTGAAAGCCTAAAACATTAATAATAAATTCCAGCCAAGAGGCAGATTTATAGGGGGATTCAGGCACGATTTATAGGGGGATTCAGGCACGTGGAGAGATGCCCAGTATTGGCGTCGTTTCCTTTCTCATTCAGGCTTTTACTCCCGTCTGGGAGGGAAGCAGAGCTGTTGTTGGAGCAGTCTGATGGGCCAGGAGTGTGGGAGCTGAGGGGCTGAATCCTTGCTGTCCTCTGTAATTCTTCACGCAGAGTGGGACAGTGCCAGCAGGAGCTACTGGGAGAGGCCATCCAGGCAGTAATTCATGTCTGTAGGTCACTTCTTTTTGGCTGTGAGAAAGGCAGCTTGGAGAATTTGGAGCTACATTTAAATCTCCCCTACATCAGGGAGCTGCCCTAACTAACCTGCACTGTTGTGGTAAGGTTTCTCCTGTGCTGTGGCAGAGGCTCAGGCTCCCCTCTGCCTCCTTGGGGCCTCTTTTCACAAGCAGCAGGGCATCAATCACTGGGCTTTGTTTTGCACTCTTGACACCTGGGGCTGAAGTGCTCCTTTTGGGAAAAAGATTGCGTGGAGAGCCAAATCTTGCTTTCCCGGAGATGGAGAGCCCGATAGAGCTGCAGAGCAAAGGCTTGAACTGTGCCCTGTAGATAACCAACAAGCTCAGAGGCAGCCGTGCGTGGCAGGTGAAGAATTAAGGTTCAAGCACTCGGCAGGCTTCACCTCGGTGTCCAAGGGCTACAGAGTGAGTGGGAGCACAAGCAGCTTTTGTGTGTCAGCCTGACCTCTTCTCAGAGTTTCCCAGGCGCTGAAAACAGCACTGGGTCAGCATCAGCTGCTCCCCACACCTTCCCTTGGCTAATTAGTATGAACAGCAGCTTGGAGAGATGAGGGCTGTCAGACATTTACTGAGCAGCACCCCTGTCTTCCCGCTCCTCTGTCCTTGCCTGCACCTCAGAGATAGTTTAAAATCACTTAGGTAACCAACTTCTTTCTGAAAGAGAGATCAGGTACAGCTCAAGCACTGTGCAGGGGAAGAGATTGCAAAGAGCAGGTACTCAAAAAGCATTTAGCCTGTGGTAATTAACTGGTAGGATAGCCAGAAACACTGCACCCCTGGCTTTATTAGCTTGAGCTCTCTTTGTTTAGAGCAAGTCCTGAACAGATGAAGATTTCCTGATAGGCTCAATGGGCAGGTCATGGATTAGGGACACCTGTTATTATAAAAACCAAACCACTTCCTGCTGCAGAGGGATGTACTTTGAATATGCACGTGTTACCTGTGCTACAGGAACAGTATTTCAGGCAAGTTTCAGAAAAAGAATTAGTGGAGCAGTTTTTATTATTCCTTGCCTGTAAATCCAGGTGCTGTCTTTATAACCAGGCAGGCCTTGGTGGGACAAAAGAAAGTTATACAAATAACATAAAAGAGCCTTTCTCCAAATGAGTACCATTAACAATTTTAAGGATGTTTTGTGGCCCTGAAGAAGTTGTTGTGTGATCCGGAGGGAGTTAAACATCTCTCCAAGGGGAAGGGTACCAGGGTGGCAAGAGCACAGAGCAAGTAGCAATGATTATTATGCCAGTGCATCTCTTGTCACTCAGTGTTTGTAAAAGCTTCAGTAGAGGGGACATAAATATCTGGGGATGTGACCAACATCAGCTGAACTGAGATGACAACGTAGCCAGAAGTGCTCAGGCATTACTGCTGGCTGGCCACCTTGTAGCCAAAAGGACCTTATCAAAAATTTGTTGGCTATTCTTCTTTGGATTTTCATTATGTGAAACCAGCTTAATTTAGATAGTATAGACTGTATTTTAACTGCTATCAAGAATAACGCCGTTCCTCTGTTTCCACAGATATTGATGAATGTGCTACTGGGAGAGTGATCTGTCCACGGTTCAGGCACTGCGTCAATACTTTTGGAAGCTACATTTGCAGGTGTCATAAAGGCTTTGATCTACTGTACATCGGAGGGAAATACCAATGCCATGGTAATAACAACTTACTCCTCACGTGCATGTAATAGAGCTACATATTCTAAACTGAAATTAACAGTTTAAAGAGGAATGTTTATTTCTTATGACCGGAATGTTGAAGCGGGTTGGTTTAGGATACACTGTGCTATAGGAAAGGGTGGATTATAGAAATAGACTGTGAAAAAGAAAGCGTATATTTGACCCTCATTCTTGTAACTGGTTCTCCTGTGGAAGCTCGTGGGTGAGCAGAGCTGATGACCCCAGGAGTTGCTTTCCAAAGCCTTTGTCCCCACAGGGTCACTGTGCAGGGTGGGTTGAAGGTTTGGAGCAGCGTACGAGCTTAGGCTATGTCTGAGCTGAAAGGCAGGTGTGCTCCACAGCATGCCCCGAGAGCCAAGATAAGAAAATGTGGCTAGAGCACACCCCAGCTCCTTCCAACCAGGCTGCCCAACTTTCCTTCCCCTGGAGACAGGTGGGGAAAAGGCAGGGATTGGGAAACGACTTGTCTCTGTCTGGACATGAGACTGGAATGCAGCTGGTGTATGCCCTTCACCAAACATGTTCCCAGGTCCCACTGTCTTCGTTTCCTTTCACTGAGGATCATGTGGAGATAATGAGGCATTGCTATGTTTGTTTAAGTGTATTTTTTGGAGAGAAATCTCTATGCAGAGCACTGGAATTTGGCAATTTTTGCTTGCATCACTAACAACAAACATATAAGATGTTTCAAGCAGTTTCTACTTGGTGTAGAAACACTTATACAGGTGTATAATAGAGGAAGCATTTTATGAAAAAACAGCTTAATACCTGTGTAATTAAGAACATGCACATCCCTACACTCAAGTTTTCCTTTTCTTACTATGTCACCTCTAAGAAATGGTTATTAAAATTCTGATCTTCATGATCTCAACTGCAGTCTACCCACAGCACATCACTGAAGCTGATGCTAAGGTACAAGCTGAGCAATACCAGAATTGCACACTAGTCCCTTTTGCCCTAATGTTCCTACCACCGTCTTGATTTGTGTCTATCTTCTTTTTCCCAATGGCATTCAGTCCTAGGAAATTTTTCAAAATCAATAATATTTTCCTAATGTAAATGATTTTTTAATGGTTGATTTGTGTCTGTCTATCTTCTTTTTCCCAATGGCATTCAGTCCTAGGAAATTTTTCAAAATCAATAATATTTTCCTAATGTAAATGATTTTTTAATGTAACTTTCTGTTGCAGACATAGATGAATGCTCTCTTGGCCACCATCAGTGCGGTAGTTTCTCCCGATGTTACAATACACCAGGATCCTACAAATGCAAGTGTAAAGAAGGGTACAGAGACAATGGAACAAACTGCATACGTATGTAATGCTCCTTCTAAAAAAGAAATTCTAAAAGTAAATGTGCCTCATGTTCTAAATATTGAGATACAGCACTACCAGGCTCAGTTTCCCTTAACTATTTTTAATACTTAATAAGGGGCCAGGGAACGTAGTCAGTTTTCTGAGTCTCAGCGTGCCTTGGTAAAAATACCTTTCCCTGAGACATTTTCATAATTAGAAAGAAATTCACCTCTCCCTGTTCACAGCTTCATTCTAGAGATTGCTTCAGGACTGAGTAAGCAGGGTAGGTCTGGTCAAACAGTAGGTGTTACTCATACCCTGTTGTTATGGACACTCTGCAATTGGCCCCTTTCAGCAGCTCACCCCATCCACTCCCCACTGCGCCCCAGATGTCAGCAGAGCCGAAAGGGAGGATTTCTCTGGAGGAATTCCCTTCCTCACCTTTCTCTTGGGAGAAGCAGGCTGTGTCCTTTGGTACAGAATAGGCCATTGCAGCCCCCCAACATTTGACCATCCCTCAGGACTGTGCCGCTCTGTGACATCTGCTGAACCTTTTTGAGGACCCTGTGTTCATACGTGGGTTCTGATCTTTGGTGACTGATGTCTTTAAAGAGCAGTACCATTGTGGACTTGTCTCCTTTGGTTGTAGCTGCCATGGTACTGGGATCTGGCTAAGGTGATCTTTCACATCCTGAGTGCTTACAGTTATGTGTGGACATTTTATGTTTTACTATACCATAATGTAAAAAGTGCAGGGTATTCAAAGGAGTAGTTATAAACAGGTGGCCCAAGAGAGAAATTTTTTACCTGCTATCATCAAACAATTCGTTATTTAACAAACAGTAGTTCTTCATTTTAGTTGTGTGTTATACTCCAAACACTTGTACACAAAACATGTGATTGGAGTTCTTATTGGGGCTTTTAAGATCTCCAGGGAGATATAAAAGGCTTATTAACAAATAGAAAATTATAAATAACAAAACAGATGTTCTTGTGTTTCATGTCTGCAGAAACTCCCCTTGTGAAACCAAGTTACAATTTGTTGTCCTTTCTTTATGGCCTGTTGGGTGGGAGGGGACTGTCACGGTGGTGTAGGTGGTGCTCAGGTCACTCTTCTTACAGAGGCTGGAAAAACACCATTGAGTTAGTTTCCTGGTTTTTAGCACAGGTAAAGATCTCAAGAAGCTCTTGGCTTAGGTCCAGTCTCTGTAAAATGATTAACGCTTATTGACAAGGAGAAAAGTTTAGAAGAAGTGGGGAGATCTGAAGATAACTTTCTTAAGCTGAAGGCATCTGCCCGTCCATGACCAAAATAGTTGTAACATTGCAGTCTTACTAAATTTGCCTCTGCTCCTGAGCATAAACTTGTCCAGTTTAGGGGGCTGCTTAACACACATCTTCCTGCTCATGCTTTTTTACAAACAGTGCTTTTGGGTAAGTTTCACCACCTCTGAAGGAAAGTTGATGCTTGGGAGGAGGTGGAAATGGAAGTCTCTTGGCCCTCAGTCATTTTAAATCATTTCTAAACTGCTTTGATAAGTACTATCTAAAGGAATGTGATCATTCAGCAATGCTGATGCTGACGTATGTTTCTAATTAGTGCAAACATTCAGAAGAGGAGAAATTATTTCAGCAAAGACTCTTTGTGTCGTAATGAAATAGATTGTTAAGTTCCTGGAGCAAGAGACTCGGATGTCCATTTTGGTCCCGTTTTGATTCTCTTTGCAGTTATTCCTAATGTTATGATTGAACCACCTGGTCCATATCATATATTCAAGGGCAACAGCCCTCTCCCGAAGGGAGGCAGTGGTGTAACCAGTAGGATCCCTGATGGAGGCACAAAGCCACCCCTCACACCACCATATGTTCCTGCTTTTGTTACAGAAAGGCCACTGACCAGGCCAACGACTCGACCAACACCCAGGCCAACAACTCAGCTGACACCCAGGCCAACAACTCAGCTGACACCCAGGCCAACAACTCAGCTGACACCCAGGCCAACAACTCAACTGACACCCGGGCCAACAACTCGTCCTACACCCAGGCCAACAACTCGACAGACACCAAAGCCAACCACTAGATACGTGCCGGTGACAAGAAGACCAGTAACAAAGCCAGCGACGAGGCCTCCACCTCCAACAGCACCTCAGTCTACGACGTTGACACCTACACTACCACCACAAAGAACTCCTCTGGTAACTGGCACCCGGGCCAACAACTCGTCCTATACCCAGGCCAACAACTCGACTGACACCAAAGCCAACCACTAGATACGTGCCGGTGACAAGAAGACCAGTAACAAAGCCAGCGACGAGGCCTCCACCTCCAACAGCACCTCAGTCTACGACGTTGACACCTACACTACCACCACAAAGAACTCCTCTGGTGACAACTGAAGAGCCTTCACGTGTTCCCACTGAAACGACACCTTCCCAAGGAATTACAGATGACAACAGGATCCAGAGAGATCCTCAGAAACCCCGAGGAGACGTGTTCAGTAAGTAATTTTACATATGCTTTGGTTTATCAGAATGGGAGGTGCCGTGAGGTGAAAGCATGCACTGTACTGTTTGGGTTTTTTGGAATGCTTCATCAATGAGAACAAAGACAGGAGACTGAAAATGGTAATATGGTAATGCTCCACAAATAATTGACTTTATTACCTAACCAAAACGTGGGAAGGTCTGAATCAATTCAACCAAAATTTCATTTTCTTTCCTTCCTGAAATTATCTGTGAATATATTGTTCTGTTTAAGGGCTTAACCTAATTACGTCTTCAGATGAAAGTTCTAGAGAAATTAAAGATGTCTTACTGAAAAGTATTGAAATGCAGCATAATTCATAAATGGTCAATGGATACAAATCCAGGGAGTTGAGAGTTGCTCTTAGAAAGCATATTTCCTTAGCTTTAAGAATGGTGAGAAATGGGACCATGGCTGATTACCTAAAGACTGTTACATCACCTAGATTGGATGAATTCAAATAGTCTTGGATGTTTATGACTAAGCAACAGGAAAATTGCATAAAAATAGCATAGAGGCTAATTTTACGGACTGCGTCTATCAAAACGGATGCATGGAAAGCGCTGAGGGTAGTAAGGATCCTCAGAGCATGACTACATGTCATTTTAAGAGCTTCTCTGAAATGTACAGCACCGTTTCCACACCAGCTTTAGTGCATACCACAGGAGACATCACTGGCACGTGCGGAGCTGCACGTATCTGCCAAGAAATACTCAACACTCCATTTCATCTGTAGTTCTGCCGCTAATTTTAGAGACGGGGAGGGTGTGCTGGATCAGCCCTTCTCCTGCAGCCTGCAGTACAGGAAAGCTGCTGGAGCGGTGCAGTGGGAGGAAGAGTTTGCTGTCTCAGAGCAGGTGCACAGGCAGCGTGGGAGGGTTTTTTCTGGGTGCTTTGGCATCTGTGTGGTAACTCCTTGGGCTGTGTTCTGGTAGGGGATTACACAGTGAAATATTTTGATCCTGTTGAAAAAAAACGGTTTGTTTTCCCTCTTGACATTTTATCTGTGCGGACAGTTTGATAAATATAAAATGGAGACAAAAGCTGACTTAGAACTGGGGAAGGTAAATCCTGGTACTACTCAGAGGAGCGTGCTTTTGGCATTTTCAAGGTTATTTTTAAACAATAGGTATTCAGTTGAAAATAGAAAATAATTTCTATCTAAAATTCTATAGAGAAATCTAGTACAGGCTCCAAAAGTTAATATAACGGGAACCAATAGTTAAAAATACAAAGTTCTGTGGAAATTATTCTAGACTCTAGTTTACAGGACAGTAAATGCTGCTTTGAAAAGCCATCTAAATAGGAGGTGCTTCTCTTAGGCAATCCCTGGCAAAGGGCTGGATGGTGTGCTGTTCACTGATAGATGTCCTACTGCACTAACCCAAATCCTACAAACATCCTGGGCTAGGATTGGTCCACCTCAGGAGGGGAAACATGCCTGGGCAAGTGTACTTGTTTTCTCTCTCAAATTTTAATTTTTCATTATTTACCTTTTTCCCGAGCTTGCCCTTTGGGTGACTTGGTGCTCCCTGTTTTCTCCCCTCGTTGTTACCTGACCTGCCCTCCCACACAATGAGTGAACTTGTGCTGAGCTTTCACTTCAGAGCACCCTCGAATGTGCTGCTCAGCTTGAAATCAGCTGAGGAGCTGTGAAACTGCTCTGTTCTGTGGTGGCAAAGAGCACAAATGGTATTAATGCTGATAGTGTTCTTTATGTGCCTTTGCAATTTTTGAACGGTATCGGGTTGTTGCGTTTCTTTGGGTGCTTTACCCCTTTTCTAAAAAGGCCTGCAGTGATTTTGGGGAGCTGATTTTTCAGAGGACAAAAAAAAAATGAGTATTTTTTAAAAAAATGGAATTCCTACACTTGGCCTTTGAACCACTTAGTCAGATGCAGACAGTGGAATCTGGCACCAAGGATAATCTTCTCCTGATATGGATATGGGGGGAATGGCAATGAGGGAGGAATGCAGTGATGGCTTAATATTTAACCCTTTCAGCACTGCGACAAACTACAGTGAAATAGTTTGAGCAATCTTTTCTGGTTACTCAGATGAAGTCTCTAGCAAATAAAAAGCACTTTGCAATAGTACAGAGCAATCTTTTCTGGTTATTCAGATGAAGTCTCTAGCAAATAAAAAGCACTTTGCAATAAGGCTATGAATTTCTGCTGCCATCGGGATCTGGGTGATAAGTATTAGAAGCAGAAGCTTAAAGACAAAGCATAATACTAGATATCAGTAGAGCAAGAACAAAACCCCTTATCTGTATTAAAATATAGTTCAGCAATTTTCCTTCTTAGCCCTCAGTGGAGCTGAAAAGATAGGAATTATGAGACTTTTCTCATAACAGCTATTAAAAAAAATTAAAGATTGGATTAAAACTTGATTTTTTCTGCTTCCCCTTTCAATGACTGAAAAGCCCTTAGTGCAGTAAATGCAGTTATGTGATCCTTGAAGCTCTGGAAAAAAGGGAAATGCTAAAAGCAAAGAATGTGGGGTTTTTATTCCCTGATATCATTAGAGTAGATCATTTTACAGTAGCATTTCATTTGTCTTCACTGTTCTGGCACCTGTTAAAATGTGTTTGTCTTAATATTTAAGCATTTAAGGTAGGCACTTTGTTCCTGTTTGTACTCTGGAGCTAAATCATAAGATGTAGGAGTCTTACAAATCACACCCTCTAGTTTTATCCCCAGATCTGATAGCCAGCTTCTCTAGACTACTTATTTTAGCTGTGTTTTCCTGAAACTCCATTGGCACTCTGCACCTCCTGCTCATAGAAAAGCAGGCAGGTTGCTTCTCAGAAAATCTGCAGAGATGTTTGATTTAGGTCAAAGTTAATGAGCCTTGCAGCTCCCTGAGAAATACAAGATGATGGGACTTCGGAGTGGTCGCAGGCCAGCACCACCTCTCCTCTCTTAGGGACAGGTGGGAGAGTCCATGAAAACCCTTCCTGAAATAATTCTCACTGCAAAATTTGAGTCTGTGGAGTTTTAGGCAAGGTATCCTGGACCCTGCAGGTAGCCAGATAAAAGGGTGAAGCCCACCTCTCTGTTGCCCCTTCTTTTTAGCCCACCATATGTCAAAGTCTTCGCTGGAGGCAAAGAGAATGTCTTCTTGTTTACTAAGCCTGACTGACCTCTGGACTACCCCTCCTTTTAGCTTTTTTCTATTAGATCTGTGTGAGATCTCATCACTTGGGGGTTTTTTTTTGGAAGCGGAATTTAATGACTTTAGGTTTTTTTTTTTTGGAAGCGGAATTTAATGACTTCCAATCGTAACTATTCAGTGAAAAACATCTTTGTGCTTTTTTTTTGTTGTTCTTAACAAATGGGAAGCTCGGTGGTGATTATTGCGTGGCATGGAATTGCATAAGAATGCAGTGTTTGTTGTAAGGCAGAACACTGCATTATTAATAGTAATAACAATTACTAGTACCATGAAGCTGCACTCCATGTTTTGGTTTGGTTTTGTAACACCAAAACAGGGATTATGCCATAATTACAAATAACCTGACATATATACATACCATCTCTTATACTCCTAGACTCAGCAATTAGCAAGTAAATGAAAAAAGTCCTAGTGGATTCCTAAATGATTAAAAACCTGAAAAGAAATCAGCCTTCTGCAGTTATTAAATGTTCCCCCCCACATTCATGCCTCTGTGAAGAACTTGGCTCATGAACTTCTGAGAATATGGTATTGTTGATGTGTTGGCTCAATCAGAGCTTATAAAATTCTCCAAGAAGCAGCAGCCAAGTTTATATTTAACAAGCCTTATCAAAGCATTGAAGTGAAGTGAAAAGCACACTGATAGGCTGCATAAAGTGCACGCGAAGGGCTTGGAAAGCTTGGAGAAAAGAATTGTGCCAAATACTTTCTCCCACGATGGCCACTCGACGTGTTGGTCCTCGCAGCAAAAAGAAGCCTCCCCATGGGTCATATGGAGAGTCCTACAGCTCTTGGGGCAACTCTTGTTTCATAGCAAGTGCACATTCCTCTAATTAGCTCTGAGCACTGGAGTGACTGGTTTAAAGCTCTGCAACACGGTCTTCTAGAAGTTCATAACAACAGCTTTTGGAGAGGACTTTTGAGAAAAGTTTTGAAGACGTAGTTTTTGGTAGAGCTTTAATTGTAGGCAAATATATCAGCTTTAATTGTAGGCAAATATATCAACTTTAATTTAGAGAATGCTTGTATCTGTGCAGGGATGAAATTCAGATTTGTATAAAATTGGCGTGCATTAGAAATGAAACTGAAGTAGTTTGGAAAACAAATTCCTAATATTTCCTGCAGTATTTTCCATAAATGAGCTACTGGGGAGTAGGAAGGGGAACCACAGAGCAAGCACTCACCTTGAGACTCTGACCCCTGAGCATCCTACAAATCACAAGAGCAAGGCAGGGGTTTTTCTTAATGCTCTCAGAGCCCTCTACCTACCTGTGAGTCTGGGGTCTGAGCCGAAGAAAAATTTAATTTAAGGCACAGGGGAAGAACAGGAAGATACTGAGGTGCAGAGTTTTAATTATCTAAGGTGAAATTACAGTCAGAGCACTGTCCTGCCAGGAGTGACAGTAAGTAACTTCCAGGAGGCTGTTAGTTCAGCAGGCTTTGTAAATAAATACTGCAAAAATCTGCATGTTAGATAGAACTCTTAGGAAGGACCTTTAATTATCGAAGGTGAAATTGCAGTCAGAGCACTGTCCTGCCAGAAGTAACTTCCAGGACAGTTAGTTCCTGTTAGTTCAGCAGGCTTTGTAAATAAATATTTTAATTATCTAAGGTGAAATTACAGTCAGAGCACTGTCCTGCCAGGAGTGACAGTAAGTAACTTCCAGGAGGCTGTTAGTTCAGCAGGCTTTGTAAATAAATACTGCAAAAATCTGCATGTTAGATAGAACTCTTAGGAAGGACAGGATTAGGGGTGAGTGATGGCTTTATAGAGCATTCCTGGTTTGATTTTCTGCTCCATGAGGTAAACAGATTTTTATTTTTTTTTTTCCTTGATATATTTGACATATTATTTGTGTGTAAAATGTACCGCGGGGTGGTTATTCACCTAGGTGATGGGCACTGTGCACATCTGCAAGGTCTCTTTACATTAAATCTCAAAATTCTAATCCCATAAGCAAAAAAATACAGATTACACTATTACAAACAATGTATTCTTAAAAATTATCAGTCCTTTACTGCCCAAACTGACCAGAAGTCCTTAAGGCTGTTTGGGCATTAATATCCTAGACCGCAAATAGACATAATTAAAAAAAAAAAAGAAAGAAAAAAAACCACAGATTACACAAAGCAGCAGAATTATTATTACAAACAATGTATTCTTAAAAATTACCAGTCCTTTACTGCCCAAATCAACCAAAAGTCCTTAAGGCTGTTTGGGCGTTAATATCCTAGACTGCAAATAGATATAATTAAAAAAAAAAAAGAAAGAAAAAAAAAAGAGAGATGTAAGGATTCCAAAAATAGCTATACCATTAAGGAGTGAATAAATTTCCTGCAATTTCTAATGATTCCAAAAATAGCTATAAAATTAAGGAGTGAATAAATTTCCTGCAATTTCAAGCTTTTTATTTGTTTTTATCATAAATTATTTCCATCCAAAGTCGGTAGCCTGTAATATTACTTTTAAAATATATTTCGCATTTGGTCAGTCAGGCTTATTTTGTCCTAATTCTAAAAAGCAGGAAGCTACTTCATTCTTCCTTTTTGGTTTGTTCTCCCAGCTTTAGCTGAGCTCTTGCAGCAGGGCTACTGATGTGTTTGTCCCAGTGCAAAAGAAATTCCTTCTTACCTTTGATTTGATTTCCTGAAAACAACAGTCCTTTATTTCAGTTGAGAATTGTAAATCATCTCAGTTCTTCTTGTTCTCGCTTGCCCGAGAAGCCCAGAGAGACATTAAGGTGCTGATTTGAGCGCTGCAGAAGGAAAACATGTCAAGTTTTTAACAGATGAGGCCCTCACAAATACCGTAGGTGTCAGAGGTGTCTGTAACATCTAGGGACGTGTCTGAAACACGTAACTACTGTTATTAATGATGAGCTAGACCTGCCTCTAAAAGAGGGATTTCCAAGACAGCTCTGTCCCATGGAATCTGTTGATCTCTAGTTGACAGCTGTCCATTGGGGTGTTATTTCTGGGGACGTAGACAGACTCCACAGCATCTTCAGAAGTCAGTGGAGGTCTTCGTAGCCACCTGACTTTGGCAGCCATCGCTCCCCCACAGGCCTCTTCAATTTGAGGTTGTCCTGGCACCTGAATGTCTCATCACCTCTGGGCCCGTTAATAACCGAGAGGGTTCCTTCTCCTTCCAGCTTAGACCAGCAGCTGAAGGACAGGCTTGTGTTGGAAAGCAAAAAAGGCCTAATTAGGGTTGAATTCCAGCTTCCACCAGAGCTCCTGCTCCTCCTCCTCAGCTCCCAGTACAATCCTGGGAATTGTTCAGGGAGCTCTGCCCCTTTGCAGAGCTGTTCCTGCAGCTGCCTTTGGAAGGGGAGGTGGTTGTGGGGCCTCCTCCAACTGCCCCCCACCTCCCGTTGAGATTCTCCTGTAAACATCTATGGAAGGTGAGTGGATCAGGAGAGTTGGAGCAAGGCCTTTAATGTGGCTTTATTTTATTGAGAAGCCACTGTCTTTAAAAGTGCATTTGGAGGGGAAGAGTGTGCTTCAAGGTTAAAGTTTTTTTTTCTTTTTTCTCTTTTTTTCCCTGGGGTTAAAAAGGAGCTTTCATTTGAAGAGCCTTTAGCAGCTTTGGAATCACCTTTTACAGCGCTCAGATAAATGTTACAACAGAAATCATAAATCACATAGGCATAAAGTTTATGAATCTTCGTGTCAAATATAATTAAATATATTGAATTCTCCAAGAAAAGCACAATGCCCAGAGCTGCTCTGCTTTTTTTTTTTTTTTTTATTATTAAAGATAAGGAAGTAGGTCACTAACTACCTTTATCTCATTCATTTCTGAAAAACTGTTTTTCTCCCAGTTCCGCGCCAGCCCGGAGTGAGCAATAACCTGTTTGAAATACTTGAAATCGAGCGAGGGATCACCGCCGAGGAGTTTGAAGCCAACGATGACCCAGGTAAAGATCACATCCCCTGTTCAAGGCCTGGGCTTTAGAATTTTTTTGAGATTTGAGTTTTTATACATTTCTACAGGACTCCTACATCTTAGGCCTCTTTTTTAAACCATTCTTTGTAAAAAGAAAAAAACTTAACCACTTAAATGAACCTTTCTAGTTTTATTGCCCAACAGATTTAGCACAGAAATAGCGTGAATTGTTAATAATAACATTAGCAGCCTTGTTATTGGTTTAGTATTTCTGTAGGATTTTTTTTCTAGTGCTCCTCCTGCTGCATTTAGTTCTCATCTTTACTTCCCAGTGTCAGCCACTAGTTCCCCAGCCAAAACAATCCAAATCACTCTTTTTTTTTGGTTTTTTTGACCTCCTCCTGTGCTGTGCCTAGGGCTGCTGGTGCACAGCTGTAACTTTGACAGCGGACTCTGCGGATGGATCAGGGACAAAGAGGACGACTTGCACTGGGAACCAGTGAGAGACACCTCAGGTAGGGCACCTGTCTGTGGGCACATCCTGGGGCTGAGGAACCACTCGGGCTTGGGGTTGCTGACAGTTCTGTTATGATGAATTTATGCAGCTTCTGTTCCCTTTTGTTCGGGGATACATTTCACACCCACACCTCTTCTGTGCATAAAAATCAAAACTGAGGATTCCCAGCATGAAAGAGCAATTGAGAATTTCCACTTTTATCATGGCCGGTATCTTTACAATAGGAATGTCTCTGGAGGAGGAGTAAATGTATTCAGTAAAAGATAATGTATTTTAAAAGAATCAGAAGGAACAAAAATGTGGACTGGAGAACAACTTTTGTTTATGGTACAACAAGGCTTATTTTCCAAACCACCACGCAAACACAATTATTTCTACATTACTAGGAAAATTATAGAAAGTGCTGGAAATAGTCTTTGTTCTGCTGCCAAGTACCTTGTTTTAGTTTAACCTCTAGTTTTGATTTTACTGAATTCTACTCTAAGTTAATCAGCCTGTACACAGGAGAGGTTGGCTTCTCCTTGCCCCATGGGATTAGACACACACCTCTGGCTCCCCTAAGGCTGGGATTGCTCCGTACCCAGAGGAGCAGCCTGTGAGTGCCCAGTGGTTGTGTTCTCTGAGGGGATGGCAGACCTCAGAAACCTTATAGGTTAATTTGAGGGAGGGGAAGGGCACTGAGAGCCATTTTCCTGTGTACCACCTCATCCTAGAGGTGACTCAGCACCTTTTTCAGGCTTTTTAGCTGGTTAAATAGAGGTGCTGCATCCCTCCCCATCCACAGCCTGTTCTAGCATTTCACAGGCTCCTCCTGACACTTACAAATTCTCATGACTGACTCAGAGCAGAGCCCCTTCCTCCTGCAGAGGAAACAAGTCTCCTGTTTGCAGACTGGCATTTTAGAAAAGATCACACATCATTCAAACATCTTTCTGAAATGATGGATTTAAAAATGCTTCATTTCTGAGAATGTCAGTTACTCAAAGCATATTCATTATCTGTATTCAGAAATTGTTGTTAATACATATTATGTTCCAGAACTATGATTGTTTTTAACTGGCTTTTTTGTTTTTTAGACTTTTTTTTTTTTTTCCTTCTGTGTTGCTTCCCAGTCAGGGACAGGCTCAGCTTTTTGTTTCCTATGGGTGTTGTGCTGCTGTTGACATAACCTGTTAAAACGAGTCCCTTGAAGTCACCACCCCACTCCCTCCTGTCTGGAGCACCTTGTTGCAAGGCTTTATTTTCACAGCTTGTTCCTGAGTGTTTGCTTTCACCTTTCAAAGTTTGCTATTTATTGGTTTATCAGAATCTCATTCTGAAAGGTGCCGTGCCTAAGCCTCCTGAGCTTATCATGCCTGCAGAAAATGCTGATTTGAGGCAACCTTTTCCTGCAGGGACTTGTCTAAAAATACGTGGGCTTTGTGCTTACCTAAATCTGTTTCCTAGTGATTGGATTCAGTCGCTGTAACTCTCTGAAACAGACGCAGTTAATGAGTCAAATCAATACTTTTATACCAATATAATTGTATCTACAACAAGCAGGTGCAGTTATTTAAAACTTTATTATGCTTATTTTAGCAGTTAGTGGCCTTGATGCAAAAACAATGCATTACGAAAACAACAACAAATGAAACAAAACCAAGAAAGCCTCAAACCTTGAAAAAACTTTAACAGATCCTTGGACAAGTGGATCCCACTTCATGCCCAAATGCGGATCTGGGGCCCCGGGCAGCAGCATAATGCTTTGCTTTGTTCAGGCTCATGGAGACCTCTGTAGCAGCACTGAATCCTTCCTTTTAACTGTGTGACAAGCCCTGGTGCATTGTCATTAGATCTCACAGCTTTTGAGGGACATCAAACCTGGCTTTCAAAAACTAAAGCTCTGGTTGAGTAGTAGCGGTGCCGACAATTTAAATGAAAACCAATTTTCTATTCTATAATTAAATACTGTGTTTGTCAACAGTATTACAAATCCCTGATATTTCTACGTGATCAGGTTCAACTCTGGAGGTTAAATGCCACCTTTACCTTAAGTTCATTGATTTTGGATTTTTTGATTAAAAAAAATATAATTAAAAAATATGATCTCATTTAAAAAAAAAAGATTCTTAGGTTCAGGGTAAGATGAGAATTTTTTTTAGTTTTTAAAAGTCAACCCTCCTGCCTTTGGGAATTTCAAATTTTAAAATTTTTGTCCAAAAAAAGTTGCAAAAGTTTTAATGAAAAGTACAAAGAGAAAATACAGGTGTGGGTTTTCTCCAAATATGAAGCCTCACTTATTGTAGGTTTGAGTGCCCGTGTGAAAGGCTGCATGGGATTTATGGAAGTATATGCCTTTTTTTGTTGTTGTTTCTAGGTTTAATACATGTTGCCATGCCCGAGATCCTCTACTTTTTGTGTTCTAGGTGATGTTTTTATGAAGGCACATTTGCTTCATTCGTGATCAGAGATAATAAGAGGGTTTTTATATAAGTATTATTTATGTTCACTGACAACTGACTACTGTTAGGGAAGACTTCAGGGAGTGTATGAAGTTAACAGCCATTTGGAAATGACTACTGTTTCCAGCTTTCTGTATCTAATCCATATTAAGAGTTTAAATGACGTTTAAATCAAAAGGAAAGAGACAGAACTGTGGCTCAATTACATGGTAACTTTGTGCTTTACCCTCACTGGGGGGTTAAAGTCGTGCAGTCACCATTTGGCAGAAATGAAGGAATACGTGTAATTTGCATTTACATTTGCTTTGTAAAAAAAAAATAATTAGATGGGTAAGACCTAAGGTGGTAGTAATGTACAGAGAGGAGAAGCAGTGAGTCTTACCCTACAGGAGGCAGATGCACCAGTTCTGGTTCATGTTCCAGCAGCTCTATCCCTTCTTTGGAGCCCTTTTTTAGATTTTTTTGTAACATCTCCTGTGCATTTGGTCTTGTAACACGGTAAAATTTAAAAAATAACCAAAACAAACCAACAAACCTATCTGCTTTTTCTTTTGCAGGGGGACAGTATCTGACCATCCCCGACCCCGAAGGCAAAGAAGGACGAGCGGCGCATCTTATCCTGCCCTTGGGCCACGTGGCTGAGGTGGGTGACCTCTGCCTGTCCTTCAGGCACAAGGTGCCAGGGCTGCATTCTGCTGCCCTCCACGTCTTCGTAAGGAGACACGGTGCCCACGGACCAGCTCTTTGGGGACGAAACGGCGGCCACGGCTGGAGACAGACACACCTGACTTTACAAGGGAGAGGCATCAAGAGCGTAAGTACCGATGCACGTCCTGCCTTTTGGGGTGTTTTTTTTTTTGGCATGAGGAGCTGAAGATGCTTAGATGGTGTAGCACTGGACTGTTTGTCTTCTGGGCCCAGTTTCAGCCTGTTTTACCACTTTGATCCCTGCCAATGGAAGCACGTTAAGGATAAGACAGTCATTGTGTGTTTTTTCAAATTAGTTTTATGCAAAAAAACCATCCCACCTACAGAAATAGACACCTCCTGTAGCATGTTTTAAGGGAATTGCCATGGAAGTAGGAAAGAGCAGTCTAATGGACAATGGCATACTGTTGCGTGGGCTTCCAAAAAGGCCTGTATGGAGATTCCTCCTGAGCAATGCTTTAAATAATACAGTGTCATGAAATAGAAAGAATCAGCCCTTGTGGATTAATCACTGGCCAAACAGATTGAAAATAAGTAATTTTTGATAACGCGGGGAGGTTACATGTGCAGTCTCACATGGTTTTATGCTCTTCAGCGTATCTGCAGCTCATCTGGCCAAGGAGGTAGATGAAAACCATGCCCATAACACACAGTGCTTTAGTGCTGTTGAAAGAAGCTGTCTGAAGTGGAAATCTTTTAATACCTGGAAATCTTAGAAACATTGGGTGATAAACCGATTTCAAAAGCTCAGCATTTTTCCTCGATCTCTGCTTCGCTTTGAAGGGAGTTTCTATGTCAGATCAGAAGAAGAGGCTTGTGCACTTCAGGGCCTGTTTTGCTCTGACACTTATCAGATGCTTTAAAAAGCTCACGCATCGTAATATTCATGGTGGGAGCAATATACACACACTATATAGTTCTACAAATTAATATTAAGGCTGTAACTACTGTAGATAATTTTCTGAAAAGTTTACCTCAGTAATAGTAACACAGACACCTGATCTTTTGTTAGCTGTAAATGAGTGTGAGACTCAGAATGTGGAAATTTTTAACAGGTGAACAATATATTTGCCGGATTCTTACCCATTTTCGTGAAGTTTAAGGCATCTGGTATCTTCAGCTCTGTCTCACCTGATAGAGTAGTTCATTAAATAAGTTCATTAAGTAAGTGTGTATCACCAATATATTGTCTGGCAGAAAAGCAAATGAGTTTTAGAGACCCCGAACAAGACCAGCAGTTCCTTTTTGCACTCTCTTGCCCCCCTTGCCCAGCTCAGCAGCAGCTGTCAGCGTGGCTTGGTCACCATAACTGGTCACCAGTCCCCAGGCCTCATGGCACCTTATGGAACAGTCAAATTTGGGATCTTTTCCAGCTGGTGTGGGAAGCCTTGGGCTGCTGACCTGAACCCCTGGGGCATTATTCCAAGGATTAGGGAATGAGAGCAGGCTCTAGGTAAGCAGGGGAGGCCTCTGCCGCAGAGAAATCAGGAGGAAATATGGAAGCTTTATTTTCTAGCAAATTAAAAGCCAAAACCAATTCAGCACTAGTGATTTTAGAGGAGCCTACTGGAAACCTGAGGATAATATGAACAGAGACCAGAATCCTTCATCACACTTTCTAACAATATGGAAGCTTTATTTTCTAGCAAATTAAAAGCCAAAACCAATTCAGCACTAGTGATTTTAGAGGAGCCTACTGGAAACCTGAGGATAATATGAACAGAGACCAGAATCCTTCATCACACTTTCTAACGACTTAGCTCTGTGTAAATTATTTCCAAAGTACACCAAACTCACTCATTTCTAAAATAATTCAGTATGTTCAACATCGAGTTTCTCTGACCTCCTCCGTTCCTACTCCTTATGTAAAAGTGTGCTTCCAGCAAGAAACCAAATTATTTTTAACTACACAGCTGAATTTCTGATCTATGAGTCTGTACTAACTCTTTGCAGCTCAGTGATAACAGCAGGCTCTTGCAAAGTTTTGCTGTAGGCTTTGAATAATTTTTAAGTCATGGTCAAAAATACCCGTATTAAACAGTTCAGGCTTCTGATCTGCAGGTGAGCCATACTGATGGGTGGGAAGGCTTTCCTAAAAGTCAGCTGGCCATTCTGTGGATCATCGCTGATTTATGCTGCAGTCCTTCTAGTCAAGCTTTATATTTGTTGAATTTCTCCTACTTAGGCTAAATCTGGACTTACATCTGACACTTACATCTGTGTCAGTCCAGGCCAAACTTCCACCCCCGTTTCTCAAAGAGCCAGGTTACCACCACTCTGCAGGCAACAGGATTTGTAAATTGAAGATGGGTGTTTCTAGTTCCCAGAACTAAGGCAACCACAAGGTGCTTTAGCAACGGAAAGCTCCTCCGTTAGAAAACATTTTTCAGAATAGAGAGGATTTTATGTATTTGCCAGAGGGACAATGGAAACAGCGCAGAGCTGATGTGTAGAAAGCACCCAAGATTCTCTTACGTGGAAGTTCATCTCACCTCAGAGAATGGTCCCACTGGAGCAGCTCTGTCCTCAACTGCTGGTTCTTCACAAAGATTCTGCCAAAGCAAAGGGAGAGCATCAGAAATAGAAAAACCAGCCATAATTCTGAGCTGAATAATTAGGCTTTTGTGAGGCAGTTAACGATTGCCTGAGCTTTCTTATGCTTTTGCTTTCTTACTGGAGAGACCTTGCTCAACTAAAGCTTCTTTCATTTTATTTTGGTTTTGCACTCAAATTTCTTCTGTTTCTCTTTCCAGGTTATTTTCAAAGGGGAGAAAGGGCAAGGAAGAACTGGAGATATTGGACTAGATGATGTGATCTTGAGGAGAGGACGCTGCTCTGAAGAGCATTAGCAAAGACAACGGACCAGCGGAGTCATCTCCTCTAGCTCTTCTTGTGCTGTTCCTACCAAGCTTTGGAACAGAACTGCATGGAAAAGAAGAAGAAGTTGGAGAGTGACAATTTCTCAGTGGTCTGCTAAGTGCAATCTCACTGAAACTTCACCTGAAACCACGGCGAGCACCTCCCAGGATTCAGGAACCCCAACCAACCCCACGTGCTGGTTGTTTCTATTAATCCTTACCCCTAAATCGTATTTTGTACGTAATAACTTTGCCTGGTGAGTGCTCACACAAAGGGCACTTGTGAAAAAGGGAGAATTCATTACAAATGGTGGCAGAAGAAAGCTCCAGCTCAGACAGGTTTAGTATTAACTGACAGTCATTATCTTCCCATAGTGCTACGCTTCCATTGATTAGATTTGATAGACAGTGGGATTGATGTAGCCCCAGAGATGAGCGGAAGGTCTGGACCTGCCCTTTGACTCACTGCCACTCACCTTTGAAGAAGGGTTTGCTTCATATTAAATAGCATTTACTTTGCTGTTGCATCTGTATTAACAAAAAGCAGTTCTGTAGAGTAGGCGCCACGTCCTGTACTATTGCTGCTGCCGTGTTCTGTGTATATGTGTATGGTTATTTACCTATTTATGGGTTTAATATTTACAGACTCTGGTTGCAAGGTAATTGGCAGCCGGGCTTTCTCCTTGTACAAGAAGACAGCACATTCTGTGACCCCTCTGGCCGTGCCAATAGGTAACGTTACCAAAGTCAGTCCATGGTGCTCATTGGAAAATGCTGGTGCAGTTTTTCATGTTGTGATAACGCTGAAGGCAAAAAGACCAAACCCTTACCTGATGTAAACTGGCATCTGCCAACGCTGGACCCCTCCGCCTGGTGCTCAGGAGCAGCTCCTCAAGGGCTCCTCATCCTGCAAGAAACTCCCGGTGGAGCTGAAGACGGAGCAGCCAGGAGAAGATGAGACTTGCATTGTCTGAGACTGAGCCCCTTGGTGCCACCAGGAAGGTTCCTTCCCAGGGGAGGGACAAGCCACCGCGTGAGCAAACAGGGTGTTAGTGCTCCCTGAACAACTCAGGCTGTGAGTCCCACCTCAATATTCCATCCAGCTCTGTACAGAGTAAACATTTCAGTCTTTAGAACTAGAACAGCTCGTAGCTCTAGCTGGATCTAAATATTTATCAGAATTTTGGACTAATTTTTAATTACGTATCATGCATGTGGTGTGCAGTTTCCCAGGGAATTCTTCTGTTTGGTTTGTGATTTTTTTTAAATGAGGAGCATTATCATCATCATCGCTGCTGACAATTCTAGATTTGACAGGTAATCATAACATTTAAGAAAATGACAAGAAATTGGTAAGATGTTGTTAGTGGCGCAGCCTTAAAGCTTCAAAAAATGTATATATAGAAGAAATAGCTCTCCTATCTTTTAAATACGTAAATACAATATAAAATAAATGTCAGCTTCCTATCATGTTATAAAGCCATCATTGAGAAAAAAAAAATAAATCATCTTAAGTCTTGCACAAAGTGCACAGAGACAAATGAGAAGACCATTAGAGGTCATAGTCCAAACCCCTGTTCCTGAAAAATTGCCTTTATGAAAATATTTTTCAAGTTTGTCCCATAGGACAAAGCCCAGTTTGTAACAGCAGAAGCCTGTTTGACCAAACAGAGAGTCTCCTGCAGAACTGCACCCACAAACATTTTGAAAAGGAAAAAAAAATAATGCATTTGTAAAACATTTTTAAACTATTTTGCTTCAAATATGATCTTGGATTTTTTTTCTCTAATGTTACTTTGTAATATGTCAGAAATATCTGTGAATAGTTGAAATACCTTGTTGTTATTTTAAAGTAATCAGTAAAGGAGGCTGTTACTTGCTACTACTTGGAAAGCTTGTTTTCATTTCTGGATGGAAAGCGGTGTTTTTATTGCAGTGAAATGAAGCAAATTCAACCAAAGTGAAGTAGCTCTTGTTACCAGATTTAAAAACAAAACCCCATTTCACTATAATACGACAAGAGCATTATAGGTATTATGCAAAAGGAAGAATGACAATTTGCAACCTAGCTTTTTTAAAAACCAGTTTCAGAGGTGATTTAAGAGCTTCTGCAATATGAAATGTCCATGTTACAAGCAGCAGCAGCTCCCATAGTTCAGCACACTCCTGAACCTGCATAAACTCTTACTTTCTTTGGCATCTAACAAGATTAACCCATTTTGGTGTGGTTCATCTGCAATGGATGAAGATTGTCTTTACCACATGTTACTACAGCTTCCTGAGACTCCCTGGTTAAGATAGAAATCTCTCTGCTGGACACAGAGGTGGTCTTTGAGAGTCTGGCTGTGAAGGAGCCATCAGTCACTCACCGCTGTGCTGGGTTGTGCCCTCAGGCTGTGTGTCCCCTCTCCTGGTGTTTCTGGAGAGATGAGGAGGTCGGTCAGTGGTTCTGTCCTCACCATCCTTCTCCAGCTCCTGCTGTGCCCATCCTTTCAGGTGGTTCCCTGCAGCCACACGCCTCATCCAGGAGGGACCAGACGCAGCCGTCCTCATACGAGCCCTAAAAGAGATGAGAATGTGGCCTGAGGTCCTCCTAGTGAGGAGGTTCCAGCTGCCCTTCCTGCTTAGGCCTTAATAAATAGGTATTGGTGCCAAAAGAAATTCCTGCTTAACTACTCAGGCAAGGAGAAGAAATTGCACTAAATTAACACATTGGAAACATTTATCAAATGGACTGTATAACCTCTTGCCAGATTATAATTTAATGTTTTTAAAATATGTTAAACTTTTCCCCCAAAAAGACTGAAAATAAAGACTCTTCATCAATCACAGGTACTGTGACCAGTGGCAGTGGCCATTTACTGACATCAAAGTGAGCACAAGAGTTTGTTTCCAGGTTCCATCCTACACAGTCACCTTTAGGTCACTGGTGAGGGCCTTCAATAAACCCCTCCATTCTGGAGAAAAGCTTCCCCAGGTCTCCTTCAGTGAGGCACCCCAGACTCTGAGGTCAAAACATTAGTTTTAATGCAGATGGAGATTACAATAACCACCCAAATAAGAGTCAGATTAGTCACGAGAAGACAACCTTCAGCAGAATAATCCTCATGACAACAACCTCCATCATTCTACTCTCTCCTACCAGGGAAAAGACGCATGTAAAGATAGATACGCAACAAGATCACAGAATCACAGAATCTTCCTGGTTGGAAAGGACCTCTGAGATCACCGAGTCCAACCACACACACAAAAAACCCCCGACAATCTTGGGCACTAGAGCGTGCCCTGAAGAGCCATGTCTACACATTTCTTAAATACCTCCACCACCTCCCTGGGCAGGCTGTTCCAGGGCCTGACCACCCTCTCAGGAAAGTAATTCCTCCTAATACCTAATCTAAGCCTCCCCGTCACAACTTCAGACCATTTCCTCTGGTCAAGACAAACTATAGCTGTTTGCCTTTAAATTTTCAGTTGTGAATGTTAGAAAGAGCCATTAACTATCAAATAAGGCCCCATTAAATACTATGCAATTTTTCTTTATTTAGATCTGTACCTGGAACACCAAATTATCAAAGTTTTCCTAGTATTAAAACACTTTACCTGCTGTTTTATCCTCATGTCCTGTAGTCACACAGGGGTTTATGCCTTCAGATTTTCCACAAGCAAACGAGATGAGCGATCCACTGGTAAAAACTTGCAATTCTAGAAAGAACGTCCTGTAGGTCACACAAGGGTTTATGCCTTCAGATTTTCCACATCCATAAAAAAAGCAAACGAGATGAGCGATGCACTGGTAAAAACTTGCAATTCTAGAAAGAAAGAAAGAAATACTTTAGTGGTAAGCTCCAGTAGTGGTTTGAGAGAACACAGAAACCTCCCCAAGCTCTGAAAGTTGGTGCATTCTGAGAACACACCTACTGCAACAAACTGACCTAGCCATAAGGGAGGACGTGCATTTTGAACACCTGGAATGCTTTATTTGGGCTGAGAGGAAGATGCCAAAGGACCAAAGACCTTCAGGGGTCACAAAGAGCTCTAACAGTGCAGACTGATGCACCTCCAGAGCTCAGACACCAGGGCTGTGTAGGCTTTCAAGATTCCAAGTCCAAAATGAATCAAATCACATTCTAGCTGCTCTGCTCTTACCAAGTCTCCTTGTGCACTTCCATAACCTCCAACTCAGTTCCTCTCCTTTGAAACCATTTTTTCCTCTAGACGGTGCTCTTGCCGGTTGCTTTGGGCTGAGATAACCTATTGAAAAACAAATGGTTTATTTTTCATTTATCTCTCTCCTTCAACTTGACAAACAGCCCCAGGAACATTACAGAGCTCAGGAGAGTTGATCCAGTTGCTGGAGGTGAGTGCTCACCAGGCTGTTCAGGTTAGGTGCTCTTTTTTCTCCAAAGAAATCCCTTATTTAACTAGAGAGAGCCAGATGGAATATCATGTTTATATGCTTGATAGTGTCCAGAGTATAGATCTATCCCTCATTTCCTTGATAACATGTCAAACAACAAAGCAAAGTGGGCCTGAATTTTCTGGACAAAGACAGAAACAATCCCCTGCTCTACAGCTCAGGCACTCCACCACTATTTTTTTCTCAGATTGTTTCCCAATAGCTGTTAAGAATCAACCAATTCTTGTACTACTCTTAGTAATATTTAACCTCATTCTGTAGTACAGGGGCAGATGTTTGCCACTCTACTGTCTTCCTGTGACCCAGCTATTAGAGGGACTCCCCAAGACCCAGGAACAAGGCCACAGGAATCACACACCACATCCCTAGAGCAAGAGGGGCATCTCCACAGCATCTCTGTACCCTGTGTACCAGGGAACATGCTAAGGCCAGTATTTGAGCAAGGAAGCCAAATATTTATGTAGCACACAGAACAGGGACACTCTCTGATACAGCCAGTCCCCGCCACCCTTTGTACCAGGGAACATTACATACACGTGCATATACTCTCTGTGTGTGTGTGTGTGTGTGTACACCCACACATGTATCGTGCCCAACATGCTAAGGCCAGTATTTGAGCAAGGAAGCCACATATTTATGTAGCACACAGAACAGGGACACTCTCTGATACAGCCAGTCCCCACCTTCCTCTGACCACAAGATACTACAGCACCTTTCCAGTCACTTTTATTAACCTTCTGCTTTGTATTTTTTACCTTCTGTTGAGGCCAGGAATCGTCCTCTTCCGCACTCTTCTCCCAGGTTTTTCCTCCTGGTGCATTTCAACAGCCCATGTTCTCGTTCCAGGCTCTCATCCAGAATCCATTTGATGCTCATTTTGGGTTTGGGAAGCGCCTGGAAAGACAAGGCACAGTGTGTACTCAGAGGATGATTTTACTGCATTTGCAAGCAACACCAACAGTGCTAAAGTGTGGGATTGCCACTTACTTACACGGGACATCCAGAATCCATTTGATGCTCATTTTGGGTTTGGGAAGCGCCTGGAAAGACAAGGCACAGTGTGTACTCAGAGGATGATTTTACTGCATTTGCAAGCAACACCAACAGTGCTAAAGTTTGGGATTGCCACTTACTTACACGGGATTTCAGGGAGACACCACCATTGCTCTCGTACCACCGGTGCCCCAGAAGAAGGTGGGGACCATGTCACCTCTCCCTTTGCCTTTCCACCCTGTTACACCCTTAGGTCAACACCTCCCAGGTCTGGTGGCGTTGTCACACGATATTCCACCTGGTTTAAGAAAGATTATTCTTTCAAAATGGCTCAATTTGTAATAATATCAACTTAACAGAAGGTCGGACTAGATGACCTTTGGAGGTCCCTTCCAGCCTGGGCAATTCTAAGATTCTATGAAATTACGCCTCCATGAACTTCACAGTTAGAGATCAAAGGTAACATCCAAATTTTAAATGAGGAAAAAAAACCCAGAATCTGGCTGACTTAAAAGAGTAAGTCTCTTGCCTATTACTTCATTCCAGCAAATGTCGTAACTTACTCATTGGATCTTAACACCAGTCTTTTGGGATGCCAAGTGCAAGTCAACTTCCTCTCCCTTTTCCAGATGTTTCCATCTAGACATAAACACTGTGAGTGGCACAGCGAAAGGTGCTCCCACGTCCCTGGGTTCAGGTGGACAACCCATGCCTCACGTCTCAGTGATGGGGCAGTAACTCCCTTAGGGGATGGTATGGACTGCACAAACTCAACCCTTTGATGAAGAAGGTCTTCCTTGTGGGAAGACCAATGTCTTGCACCCGTAAGGGAACTGTGCAGAGCAGCAGGACAGGGACAGTGCTCCAGGGCTCTCGGGCTTTGCCCACCAGCCTCTCAGCCAAGGGGTGAGGCTGCCCAGGAGCTCACCAACCACCTTCAAGGGACCAGTGGGAATCTTCTCTGTGCGCCTCTCCACACCCCTATTCATACTGCTGTGAGTCAGGTGAGTCAACTCACCCACGTGGCAGATAACAAAAGTGGGCAAAAGCTTATATATTGCGCACCCAGAAGTGGATAAACACCATTTACTGGAGCTTAATCACAAAAGCCACCGCTACCCACTGTCCTCTTGATGCACAGAGACAGGCCAACGAGCTGAACCTGCAATGGCAGAGAAAGAAAAGCAGCAGCACAATTAAAAGCCTCTGTTACCCCTCATCACTGAACGGGAGGAGCTTACAGACAAGTTTCATTTGCCTGTAACTTGCAGAAGCCTGGACCCCCGACTCGGCCCTTCTGCCAGTCAGGTGAGACACGCTGAAGACACCCCAGACCCAGCTGCCATTGGCTTCTGTGGCACAAGATGAGGTCCTTTGTTAATGTCATACAAAACACCGTGCTTCTGATTAAAATGAATCCTCTCAGCCTCTCAGAGAAACACCCCTGACCTCCTCTCCTGAAGGAACTGCCGTACGGAAAGCCAGGAGAACAAAAGCAGCTTTCCAAAGGAAGCTGGGCAGCCATCAGACAAGCCCGTGGATCAGACACTGATGAAATCACCAAGCTCCACGAGCTGCTCGTGCCATTTATCTCAGCTGCTAGTTAATTTTTAACCAGCATTTCCCCTGTCCCTTGCCAAGCAGTTGGCAAACGCGCTGCAGAAGAGCTGCGTGTGCTCCACCAGCAAACATCCAAGCAGCATTTCAAAGTGGATGTAATAAATGGAGTTCCTGCTCCAAGCACGAGCTGTTGCTTCAAACCCTATTTCTCCTGAACTTGAAAAGGAACAAACTCTTTTGCCTACATCAAAGAAGTGAAATGCAACATCCCTTCCTTCTCCACCATACTCAGCTTTTTTTCTTTCCAACCTGGGTACAACTTGTCATTCCTATCTCCTACACAAAGAGCTCTACAAGGCTTCAAAGCAGATTCTTTGGTTAAAGAACAGCTACCAGCATCCAAAGTTTGTGCAAAGTGCATTTGCACCACGACTAAAGCAGGGCAGCACCAGGGCAAGGCAAAGGGAGGGCTCCTGCAGACTCACCTTCCAGCACATCCCAGTTCTGCTGCGGAGCTTCCCACCCAGCCCCCAGTGACACCAACCTCCCAAAAGCTCCTCAACAGACCCACCAGGAACTTTATAAGGCTTCAGTTAGGGCTTGCACGCACTCACCATGGCACAGCATGTCGGGGTACAGCCCCCATCCTCTGCACAGGTGGTTCCTCTCCCCCTCTTTCTCCTCCTCACACAGCTCCCAAAGTTTCCCAACTGCACTTTTCCTCTTACTCTTCAGTTTGTTCCAGGACCCCAACTTTTTTCTCTCCATCTTCCAGGGCTGGGTTGCTGCTGTGGTCTCGAGCTTTTGATGAAAACCAGGCTACCAAAGCCCTTATCCTCAGCTGCATGCTTTTAAGTTTAGCCCCCCCCCTCAACCAGGCAGATTCAGGTCAGGTATAAAGCACTGCACCTGGCGGCGTTTGCCAGCTCCTACCCAAACAATAATAAAGTTTCTTTGCCTCGGGACCTGCTGAACCCAAAGACTGTTTTCTCTGGCAGGAGAGGCCAATTTACTCCTCAAGATAAACATTAAGCAAACAGGAATTTTTTTTACTTTAGGAACCAAGAAGCCAAAAGTTTTTCCTGCAGCCATAGTCACACCCCTCCTGCCTGCAACACCGAGCTATTTTTAAAAAAATTAATTCCTGTGGTATTTTCCTAATAGCCGTAAAGCAGTGGGGCATTCTGAGAGACACACATTGCTATTATTACTCTCTCTACGCCTCATGACTATGACCTTCCAAATTCAGAAAGATTAGCCAGCTGTCAAGAGACAAAAAGGAACAAAATTCTTCTCTTTGTGACCTTTCCTCTGGCGATTGTTTTCCCGGGGCAGCAGCTCAGAGCTGGCAGGGAACCACATTTTAGTTCCTGTCCTAAGACTTCACCACATCTTGGAAATGTCCAAGTCCTGAGTGTTGCAACTCCTGTTTACTTAAAAAAAAAAAAAAACAGGAAAGGAAAAGCTTGTACCTCTTGCCAATGTTTCAACAAGCAAAAACAGTGAACCCAGACCCAAGTGAAGTGCCCATCCAGGTAATAATGACACTTTCTATACCTGAAAAAACAACATTAGTAACTTAAAACAACCAAGGGGCACCAACATCACCCATTCCAACAATCATACCGTTTCCTTCATCTCAGGAGATGACAAGTAAATTGAGTTTGTGATTTTGCTAGTAATTCTAATAAAAGCACAAAGTCCACAGCACATTCTGATACAGACCCACACCAGCCTGAGGACCTCTTGTTAAAATAGCATTCAGAAACACAGAGCTGTTCTCCTCTGTACTTGTTCCCTGGTTTAAAATACAGAACATTTTTTCTAAGACTGTGTGAAGATAAACAAGGATTAAAAATAGGGCAAATATCTCCTTCCCTCGATTTCATTGAACCCTCATTAAACTCCTCAGGAAGCGAGGTCAGAGCCCATCTATTTTCTATTCACACACACAATTTCTTTCTGCCTGCCCACGATCCATCCTGCCGAGAGCCCTCCCAACCAACCAACCTTCCACTCCCAGCTCCTGACCCCGTTCCTTTCCTCCTGTCCTCTTATTTCCCAGCCTTCTGGCCATCTCCTAATGGTGAAATAAGCTTTTTACTGTCTGAGCCAAGAGAAGAGGCAGTGGCAACATGCCCTTATGAAGAAGAAACTGCCTCTTGCCATGTTTTCTACCTGGCAGAGCAAGCCTGCAGCTGTCTGTCCTCCTCACCCCAACCCTCTCTGTTGGTGGTGCCCTCAGCAAGGCTTGTAGGGCCAGGAGATGTGGCAAAGCTCCGGAGCAGCCCCTCGTGGTTCCAGTTTGCATCTTGTCACACTGCCCCTGCTACTCCAAATGCACCCTGAGCAAAAGCCTCTTCCAAGTCCAAGCCTACCCGACTGACACACGACGGGTCCAGCAGCTGGTAACAGTGGAGTTTGAATTTTAAAACATTTCCCCACCATGTTCATGTTCTTTTTCCTTCAACTTGATGAGTCCAGCTTCAAACTGTCTCCTAGAGAGGACACAGCAAAATAAGATACCATGAGATGTATTCGGGTCACAGCTTCACTCCCTGCTACTGACTTCAGCAGGACTAAGCTTGGTGTTACTGCTCTGCTACCAAAGTACATTTACATAAACTCAACTGATAACAAAGTTATAACCAAGGTCTTAGTTCCAAAGGTTCTATGCTGGTTTTCCACCAGCTGATTTTCCATACCGTGAATTCCAGCATCAGTCATTTACTCAGAAATAATAATTTAATTCTCAAAATTCACTACGCTTCCTCGGCATCAAACTTAATGAAAAAACAGGTGATGGGCTGCAGAGCTCTCTAAAGCTGAGCTGAATGAGTGTGTACCAGAACTGCTGTGTGAGAAAATAACACACAAAAACTTAGCAACAACTTCTGGCAAATTTCAGAGGGCAAAAGGTAAGCACTTCATTCAACAAAAAAAGAGTAAAATCCCAAGAGAAAAAAAGCTAAGCATTTTTTTCTCCAGTCAATAATGCTCCCAGTAGCTTATCTACATTTCTAGACTCTTTATTTGCTCTCCCAGACACTAGAAACAAAAAAAATAAAATCAACTTTCACCCTCCTCTGAACAAGCTACAGTGAAGTGCAACAGATGACAAGCTGCCATTAGCAGGCAGCCCATTCCAATGCTGCACTTTTATTTATATAGGAGCAAAAACACACATACGTAGGTATTTTTAATAGATGTATAACATATATCTATTTAAAAAAATTTGCCTATTTATGCATTCAGGTAAAACATGTAACAGGGGTTGCCTGAGAAGTGCTGCCAAGGCTGGTCAGTGGTGGGAAGGCAGGACCTCCCAAACCCCTCCCTGGGGCTTGCTGGGCACTACCAAAGAAGGAACAACCTCCCCCAGTGCCAGTTTTCCCCCATTTCACAGGTGCAAACCCTCAGCAGTTTGTCGGGCTCTGCTCGTTACAACAAAAGCTTTCAGTCTCCTGACATTTCAAAAGGGTTCAAAGAAACACAGCAAGAGCTGGTTAAAAATACCACGTGCAGTGTGTGTACACACCCACCCCACTCTGAGCCAAGATCACAGAAAGCAAAGTTTGTGCAGCCTGATAGCTCATCCTGCCCCCTTCTCCCGTGGGACTCCTCCAAAACAACATCTGCCCTGTTGCCTTGCCTGCTGTGCTTTGAAAGCCCCGGGTGACCCCCTCCTGGCAGCAGGCATGCAGACTGTGCCCCTTCATACACCCATAAGGTGACCCC